CCCAATATTTGCATCTTCATCAGAATCGATGGGACATTTAATAATGTGCTTAATTTTCTCAAACTTTACAACTAAATAATTTTTCCGATATCCTAAAAAAAGTACAGTCCTTATTTGATGGTTTCATTCATCATTTACAACTACATCTTTTCTGCTTATCTGAACCTGTCTATTGATGAATATTAAAATATTATTTCGATTTATCATCATTTCAGCTTAAGTTCAGATGAAGAAAGTTGCATTTGCATTTAGTAAACGAATGATCAAAAAGTTATGATCATTGATTTGTTTTAAAAATAATTTATAAATGAGATTACTCATTTATTTTAGAACTAATTGAAATTTGCTCTATAAATGAATTTAAAAAATATGCATGATTTATTTAGTCATGTGGTTTACCATTTAAAGTACGATATCTATTTTTGGGCGATTATGTTGATCGTGGCAGGCATCCATTAGAAGTAATTGTACTTCTTTTGGCATGCAAAATACAATTCCCAAAATTTGTTTTTCTATTACGTGGCAACCATGAATTATTTCATATTAATAAGTTTGCTTTTTGTTGTAGCAAACAATTGTTTTAAATTTCGAATAGAAATTAAACCTTTCTAATTTCTTACTCTTTTCTCATTTCTGTTAAAATTATTATAGTAATTTTGTTAGTTCGATAACTTTCCGTGGAATTCCTTACAGGGAATCAAGAATGTATCATTAATATAGTAATTTTGTTAAAAGTAATTTTGTTAGTTCGATAACTTTCCGTGGAATTCCTTACAGGGAATCAAGAATGTATCATTAATATAGTAATTTTGTTAAAAGTAATTTTGTTAGTTCGATAACTTTCCGTGGAATTCCTTACAGGGAATCAAGAATGTATCATTAATATAGTAATTTTGTTAAAAGTAATTTTGTTAGTTCGATAACTTTCCGTGGAATTCCTTACAGGGAATCAAGAATGTATCATTTCTAATAGAGCTATAAGTTAATCTTTTATACAAAATTACTATAATAGTTTTATTATATATGATCCATCCGTTTGTTAATTTATATAGTTAAATAATTGAATTCAATTAGTTAATTTAAAAAGAAAAATTCAGGACATATGGTTTCGCAGCGGAGATTAGGACTCGTTACCGTATCCAAGCTGATGCGCAAGGTTTATATAATCATTTCAATGAAGTTTTTGCCGAAATGCCATTAGCAGCAATTGTTGCAGGCAAAATATTATGCATGCATGGTGGATTGTCACCAGAATTGAATTCTTTAAACGATATTAGAAATATTAGAAGGTTTCAAAAATTCAATTTTAAATTTAAACCACAAAAATTTCCACAGTATTTCATTGAGTTTTTATTTGCAATGCATTAATGAAAGCTTTTTCTAAAACAATAGGCTTGCAAGATGATTATAAGATATGGCTTATCATATTAATTGCATCTGATAAAGACTTACTTCTGAAATATCCGAAAATTTTCCTAGTGTTAATTTACTATCCATAACATAAAAAAATGATTCATATTCAATACGAAATGTTTCTTTGCAATTACTTTCTTTTAGGCCATTAAGAATGGTAAAAGGTTTAGCACAGGATTTGCTTTGGGCAGATCCGGAAACGGGTGCAAAAGGTTTTCAAAAGAATCAAATTCGAGGTGTTTCGTGGGTTTTCGGTGAAAGTGCTGTATATGAAAAGATCAAAAAACTTGGCGTTGATATGGTTATTCGAGCACATCAAGTAATTTACATAAAATTAATAAGTTAGGCATTTTATTTCAATCTTTCATTTTCATAAGATTTGTTGAAGTTATCGCATACATCATTATCTGTCTGCAACAGCTGTCTCTTCTATTAAATTATTCAACAATAATTGAATGAAAGAAACAGCCATAGCTAAGTGTGAGAAAAATTTTTATTGTTAGCTTTAAAGATCGGAGTGATATTCGAAGAACTAATGGATTATACAACAAGTACATGAAATTAGCAAAACTTTCAACATTCACCGACTATTTTTTTATAAATTCATACATGAAAAATTTTTCTCTGTTTAGTTAAAATTTTCAGATATTAATTCAATTAAACAATTATCAATCAATCTTTGTAATGTAAATGTTAAGACTAGATTTCCTGCCATGATATTAACAACCGATTATTTAATAACCCACTTATCTTATATAGGTTGTCGAATTTGGATATGCATTTTTTGCAAATCGTAAACTTATAACTGTCTTCTCAGCTGCACGATATCATGAAGATCTTTGCAATTTTGCTGCTGTCGTTGTTGTTAGTTGATTGAAATTATTACCAATTAGAAATATTTCAACTGAATCTTTTTTTCCAACAAATGGAGACAATTTTTAAATTTCATAATGGATATAATAAGTTCTTTAAATTAATATTAGGTATTAGGTATGATAAATTATAATAGATATTAATGAAATATTTAAAGTATTGTGTAAATTTTAAGCTTATTTCAGCATATTAATAATAGCAGGTGAATTCGAATTTTATTTGAAACATAACAGCCGTAAGTTTGAAACATAGTTAAAAGCAGAAATAGCATAAATAGACGTAACAACGCAAAAATATTGACCTAATAGACGTAAAATATTGACTTAATAGACGTAATAGACGTTATTACCAAAATGATGCTTTTTTTGGAGTGAAAGAGATATACTGAAATGTTTAAAAAGCCCAAAATAAGAAAGGCATTATTTATGATTTTAGGTGGATAGACATCTTGAATTATCATTTGTACAACTTAAACCAAGCGAATATGAGCAGCAACGAAAGGAAAAGCTTGTACCAACGGCTGATGTTGAAGAAGATTTAGAGGATGATAAAATTTGAATATAATATTTATGTACACGTATATCATAATAAGCATATAGAATGAATTGAATGAACTAGATTCAAAGGATTCAGATGATAATTAGTTGCAATTACACTGATGTAATTTGAGTATTTTCAAAACTACATCATTAATTAATAAATTAAAATATATATTCAAATTTTGTATTAAACAAAAAATTTTCACCAAATTCAACTTAATTAAATAATTGAAGATAAAGCATAATATGATATCATTTAAATAAGATTAACTGAACAATAATTGAAATATTAGCTTTAGAAAGAATAAAATTTAATACTAAGAGATTATTTTATGCTGGCTGGTAAAGATTAGATTGATCAATAAATAGATAAGCATGATAATCGTTATTATGAATTATCCGGAATGCTTTATCAAGAGTATCCAGAGCTATGCTTAATGATTATACTACAATCAATAGCATACTGATTAAATGATAGTTTGAAATGATTTCAAATTAATTTATTTCATTCATTGATAAATATGCAAAAAGATATACTTCTTTTTGCATATTCATTTTAATTCCAGAATTAAATTTCGCATAATTTTAATTCCAGAATTAAATTTCGCATAATATATTGTATTCCACTCAAAAACTATTACTTATATTGTTTGCAATTAATTTTCTAACCTCTTATATTTGGGAAATAGAAAATTAAGTATAAACAAATATCACAGTAAAAGAAATGATTACAACTTTCAGTAGAATCAATAATTTAACAATTGAAATGGAATAAAGAAAGAGTATAATAAAATAGGAGAGGCCCAGTAATTATCATCAAATTCATTAAAAATAAAATATTCGTTAATTTGGAATATTTTATTTTCAACAAATCTCAAACAAAGTGATCTTTGCTAATTTTTCTAATTTTAAAAAAAAGAAATTTTTAAAAGAAATAGTATAATTTTAGCATTAATTATTCAATTGCTACATAATCATATACTATTAAAAGTTGTATTAAAAAAAATTCTAAAATTAAACTATGAAAAATAGAATAGCATTATGGAATAGAATAGAAATAGAATAACTAAAAATGGAACAGAATAGAATAGATAAAATAGGATGGAATAGAAATGGAATAGCTAAAAATGGAACAGAATAGAAGAGATAGAATAGGATAGAAATAGAATAGAACAGAAATAAAATAGAAATAGAATAGAAAAGAAATAGAATAGAATAGTTAAAAATGGAACAGAATAGAATAGAATAGAATAGCTCTATTAAAAATAGGATAACTCTATTTCTATTAAATTTGAATAAATTATCAAAAACTTTTATAATCAAAAAAGAAGAAATTCCTTTTTTAAATTTCTAAAATGTACAAAGAAGTTTCATATACAATCTATCACATCTGTTTAGAGAATAATAAATATTTCTCTTTTTAGGTAATAATTAAATTAATTAAAGAAAAATTCATGGACAAATTTATTCTTCATTGTTTTTAATTTCTTATCCATTCCAATTGATTTGAATTTCATAAAGGAAGAGAATATTAAACAAATAAGCCTTTGAATGCATTTTTAAAAATATAAAATAAAAGTTAAAATGAGAAAATTTTATTAAAATATTCATAAATAGATGGATATAAGAATTGCTATGTTATTTGTTAGAATTTAATGTTAGGCTTATTTTTTATCCATTAGAACTTATGCCTTATTTTAAGGCTTTTTTCCATTAAATATTCGATGATATAATGGATGAATATTTTCATGTTCATGGAAACAAAACTTCTTTTAGTAGAAATAATTAATTTCAAGTGAGAGAGAGAGAGAGAGAGAGAAGGAAAGAAAAGAGATGGAAATTTCTGCAAATGATATTGCAATTATTAATTTCTAAAATTTGAAATGAAAGAAAACAAAAGAAAATTTTAAAATATTTTTTCATTTCTTTTTTTTCAGAAAAATTTTTGATATTTTGCAAAAATTTATCAATCATCCCAAAAATAATCTCTGAGAAATTCGTTATAAGAAAACGGAGAAGAGAAATTATGTTACATATGAAAATATTTGATAATTAAATATTTGATAAATTAAAATGACAATTAAATACTGAATACTTTTAGTTACAAAATTTGGAGGAGAATTAAAATTAGAAATTGAAATTGATTGATTGATTGATTGATTGATGAAAACTTCACTATTTTCTTTTCGCTAATGGTTCGGAATGTGTTGCGCCACCTGAAAATTGTCATTTATATTTTCAGCATTGTTATTTGGCAATTTTATTTAATTCAATGTTTAAAAAAGTGAACATAGACGATGTCCAGTAGTAGTAATAATAGGCATATATAATATATGTATTCATTTTCCTTATCCTATCATGCAAATATTGAAATATTTGGGTATTATCACTAAGTAGAGCTGATGGTGTTGAAAGAGTTGTTGCAAAATTGATCCACTATTTGAAGACAATGTCCTCCAGAATTTAATGTGAGCCAAGAAATCGTTAATTAATTTCTTGGCGATGAAGTAATCAAATAGTTAAACGAATGATCGAATGTGAATTTCTACCAATTATCATTTTTACGAGGGATCATCTAATATTTCATGATTGAAAAGTTCGAGCTTATTCCTTCTTATCATTATAATTTGTTAAATTTTGATAAGAAAAAAAATGAAAATTTCGAGCATATTTTCGATATTAATTTCATAAAATCTTTTGCGGGTTAATTAGCAAATATTACAGAGAAGTTCATTTAAGATTGATAAGATAGACCAACCCCAAAGCATAACATTCATCTTATCTCCAACGATATATAGAAGCCATAAAAAGATGAAAGATATAAAGAACATTATGGTAAATGTTATCACTGATAAATATTCCATGAATGGATAAAGCCAATAACCATCAAAATAACGCACTCCAAAGATGCTAAACAAGCGAAAAGTAAAAATTAGTTGAAATTAAATGCTAAACAAAAATAAAAACTAATTTAAATTTATTATCACATAGATTTCAGTGCAATTAAACAGTAATAATAAGAATGAAAAGTTAGAAATTACGGCAGATTAAAGCCTTCTGATAATTATATATTATATTAATTTATCATTTAATCATATATTAATATATTAATCAATTTACCATTTATTTATTAATTTCAGCTATTCTATCAGTTATTTATCATTTATTTATCAATTACCATTTATCATATCATTTATATCTATCAGTTATTTATCATTAATCATATTTATCATTTATTTATCAATTTACCATTTATTTATCTATTTACCATTTATTTATTAATCATATAATCATGTAATAATTTATCTAACATCCATTAAAATGATATAATTTTTATCGATTAATTCTGTGCAATAATTTTTGATGAAACTTTTAGCATATATTTTCAATTTTATCACAAAATTTGATTTTTCAAAAAGATTGTATTTCATTGAAGAAATTCATTCTTTCTTGTAAAAGTAAAAATAAAATATTAATGTCAAAAATTTCTAGTAAATAAATTTAAAATAACTTACATGCAAAAATAAATGATTACGAGTGCAACAATGATAATGCTACCAATTTTACGTGAAGGTGCTCGATGACAAGTTAAAAGTGTATCAACCAAAATAAACGGTAATGATGCAGTATGAGTAATATGATTCAGAAAAGGTGGAATTAAGTCTTCGATCCATTTTGGCATTACTAATGCTGGTTCCAAAGCATATAAAAACCAAAAAAGTAAACAAGTCGTCTAAAAAAATTAGTAATTATTGAACTGAAATGTTAATGAAATTATGATAGCTTCTATATTTAATATTTTTATTCAGTTTTGTTTTAAATTAATTAAAGTTCATCAATCTGAATAATGCTAAGTGTATAAACAAACAGTTTCAAATCGTTAATGTGATTCTTTTCCAATTTTATCACCGTTCAATGATAAGCAGTATCCATTCAGTCCTTTTTGTTTTTTTCCTCTTAATGTAATTCTTTCACAATTTTATCATCACTCAATGATATGATAAGCAAGGAGTATAAATAATGAGATGGAAATAAATTTCGAATATGATAACAATAGCTTTGTTTAATTTCATCTAATATTTTATATTAATAAAATTCTTCGAAAATTAACAAACTGAAACATACAACTCCAACAGGTAAGACGCTAGTGAAATACATAAAATCGGAAATTCGATGAAGTTTTGAATTTCGCCAATAACTTGGAGTTGTTGGATGTTTTTTATGTGGCCCATGATCTGTTGTTTCACGTAATGCATCCATTAATGCACAAACGAAACATATTGCGTGATATATTGTTTGCAGAACCTGAAATTAAGTCCTAATTCAGTAAGAAAGAAAGAAAAATACAATTTAAGATAATTTAATTTATGCATAATATCAATTTTGTACAGTACATAAACTATGTATCCATGATTAAATATAATAGGAAGAAAAATTAAGTGCCAAAAATAATTCAAAATAAGGATAAACAATTAAAATACTGGGAATTCTCCAATTCACGATAATTCGTTCCACTAAATCAGACTGAATAATAATTTCATCAATTCGAAACTCATATGATGAATAGTATCGGACGATAAGATTTACAATTTCATGAATTCGAAACTCATATGATTTGTAAAGTTTATCGGACGATAAACTTTACAAATGATTTAATAATACTTTTTGCAATTTTTTCATTTCATAAATCTTTCTTCAAATTGCTTATTATAAACTTTGCATTATAAATTTCATAAATTATAAAAACGTTTTCTTTATTTAAAAAAATTTTATACCAACAAACATAACAAAATATTTTCTCCCTGAAAATACGATCTTACTAAAAACAAATTAATTAATTTAATTTCTTTGTTTGTTATCATTTTTGAAGTTCGGAAGAAAAAATACTTTCAAATTTATCATTTTGAAAAGATTAAAAAAATTTAATTTCATATTAAACGGGTTAATTTCAAAGCAAACGAAACTTAATTCGCAATACTAAAGAAATATATAAAGTATTAGTTTATTTCTAATTCTTTCTAAATCAGAAAAAGCTAAGATTAAATGAATGTCCTAAAATTTGCGTATTTTAGAATAGATAATATATAGATAGAATAGAATAGATAACATTTAGAACAGATGATATAATATGAATCCTATCAGAAAACAAATGAAAAAGATTAACGTGTAACACGTATGTGGTATTGAATATTTGCACACGTAAAACGTGTTTTTTTTAGCAGACTAATTTTCCAAGTCCAATATATTTAGTCATTTCTATCCTCGTTGAAAATAAATGTTTTAACTAAAGGTATCCTTTTTTCAGCCCCTCTCTCTCCCTTTTTTTTAGTTTAATGGCTTATGTGGACATTGGTTATTTCTATTTGATTTATTAGCTCATGTGGACATTGGTTACATTGTATCACATTAGGGAATGATCAAAGGTAGAAGATATCATTTCTATGCACTTTGATAGGTCACATTTGAGGAAATAAATCATTCAAATGAAAGTAACAGAAAAGGAAAAAAAGTTTGTTCTTATTTTTTGTTTACTTGTTTACTTTTTGTTTGCTGTTTACTTTTATTTTGAATTATGATATAATTACACTCGATGAATGATTTAAATGAAAAAGCCATTATTGGTGTGAGAAAATCTTACCCTGAATAAACCTGATAAAATTAAATTGTAATATCGAAGTTAATTTAAAGCATTACTTTTTACAAATTTGATAACAAGTAAGCTTTTCTTGATAATAATTAAGATAATACCATGTATTTGTTAATTATCATTATTATTATCATTTATTATTATTATCAAGAATTATCATTTATTATTATTTATTATTATTATCAAGAAAGATAATAATTATCATTATTATCTTTCTTGATAATAATAATAATAAATACATGCAATTCCTTTTTATATTTTTAGTAATTTCATATTTTTAATAAAGGTAGGAAAGAAAACTATTGCAACATAATCGTAATTGAACGCTTAATTCCTAAATATTTCCTGAAAAAGTATAAATATCTTTTCAGATTTTTTTGTAAGTATTTTATATAAATAATCTCTTTACATTCCTTTCATTTCATTTTCCAATTTCTATCTGCCATTAGCTAATTCAAATTTTTAAAAGTTTAAAATAAAAATTGGAATGAAAACTAACTAAATTAATCATTGTTAGCATGACAAGTTTGTAAATCCACCAGGTGTGTCCAATTCGTGGCATATAAAGAATATCATAGCCCAGCGCATACAAGAAGACACCTGCCATAATGCCATATATTGCCACACGAAAAATACCCATCTAAGAATAAGTTAATTTGATTAAATTAGTATGATATTAACAAAACGTACGTAATCATATGTAAGATGACAATGTAAGGTATAGCTTTTATTGAATGATAAATAGTTGAGAAGATGATTAATAAGATAGTTAGCTTTTACTAATTATTACCACGATAAATATAGTGATTTTTTTAATCACTTTTACAACAAAATCATTTCACAAGCAATTTTGTCCATAACAAGAAGTTACACTTATAAATCAGTTAACAATATGACAACTAAATGATAGCAAAGTATTATTATCAGATATCAGTATACTGCATGAGATATTGTATTGGAAGATTTTAGTACCGTAGTATCAGTTAATTAAACATTAATATCATAGTATCGATTAGATGTTCGTATCATAGTATCGGTTAGATGTTAGTATCAGTTATACTTTACAAAATAACAACGATTAACACCTATTTAACATTTTAGTTCACCGAAAAGAAAACAACGATATTCCGTTCGATTAAATCATTAAATATAGTGCAGTAAAAAGGAAGGAAGAAAATTTACAAAAATTCAATTTATCATTCTACCTTTATCATTTCATCCTATCACTTTAAACATCTTCCTTATACTTCGTTTTCTTCTCATTTATCTCTCATCCTCTTCCTATTATTAATATTTAATAATTAATATTAAATAGACTTAATTATTTAATATTTAATAGATGAAGAGGAAAAAGAAAAAAGTTTCAAGAAAAATTCATTTAGCAAAATTTTCAATTTTGAAATATACTTTATAATAAATGAGAAATCATTTTTGAATATCCATTACTTCTTATAGTTGATCTTATTCCTTTCGCAGCTATTCATTTATTAAATGGCTCTTTTTGTTTTCTTAAATTTCAAAAATGTAATTTATAGAGAAAGGAGAAAATTGGTTAAAGAGAATGAATAAAACAATAACATCCATTTATTGATATAAAATTAAGAAAGATGGAATTATTTGTTCGATATTTATATGTGTGGCATATAGATTAATTAGGTGGCAATTAGAAATATCATCCAATATATAATAACCAAAAGGAGAAAAATGGAAGAAGTTTCAATTAGTTTTCGGATAATTTGAACTAATTAATGAAAAATAATAATTGGAAATTAAATAGTAATTGTAATTAAAAATGCTCAATTGAATTAATTCTACTAAATTATAATTACAGTTTGCCTAAATCAATTGTAACTACAATTGCAAATAAATAATCACACTTTTCAATTATTTGTTTAACACGAAGCTTATTAAAAACTTTATGGAAACAATAATATCTTTAACATAAATAATTAATAAATCAAATAACCATCAAATAATACTAATCAATAACCAATAATTAACAATATTTATTAATTTTTCTAATTTCAAATAACGACTACAAAATATTGTTTGCATAATATAATTTAGTTTTCAAAAAAAACAAAAATAAAAAAATTGAAAAAGTAAATAACAAAGAAAGCTTTCAGAAAATTTAAAAAACAAAATCGATCGGAACAATACTAAAAATAAGCTTTAATGCAAAAAGATAGCCAATGGAAGCACAAACAAACAAATTATTGACTAATTTAAAATCCTAAAAAGGAAAAAATTTTGCAAAAATTTTTGCAATGCTAATTACAAATAAATTCTTTTATAAAATTCATTCTAAAATTTCCATTCTCTCCTTTTTTTTGCAGTAATTATTAGATGAAAGAAAAAGAAGCAAAAGTGAAATTGCAACAAATTTCAACAAATTGCAACAAATTGCAACATTATGCAAACAGTATAAAATTTCGACGCTTATATTTACAATAAAATTTTGCTCTCTAACAGAATGAAAAATTTATAATAACTTTCACTGAACAATTATTATTACTATTATTATTCAAAGAATGTAAGATTATATTATTATTTTAGCAATGAATTATTATTGTTATCAAAATTATCTTATCATAACTGATAAATTATAGAAATATTTAAAAATTTTTTTGACGAAATTTGCTAACAAAAATTGATGAAATTTTTAACTGTGTACTAATTTGTCGATGAAATTTCCATCTAAAAAAAATGGACTCAATTAATTTATTTCTTTTTTTCTCTTCTTCTCCTATTTTCTAATTGAATTTCTTGACTGACCCATTTTATATGATAAACAAAAAAAAGCGTTTTCTCTTTTAATTAATAAAATTGTTAATAATTAGAAAATATTGCAGTGGTTAATTTACAAAAAAAAAATACAAGTTAATTAATGAAATTAATAAAAAAATTATAAATTAAATATTCCTAAAAAAAAATGATAAATGTAAAAGAAATCGAAACTTTACACAATTTTACATTTTTATTTGATTTTACTAAAAATCTGTCATTATCTGTCATTAAAAATTAAATTTTTAAAAATCATTAAATCTGTCATTTAAATATTTTAAGTTTTAAAAATCGAATTGAAATAATGTGAGAAAGTTTTTGAAATTATTACAAAAAAGAAAAGAATTAACAGATAGTCGATAAAATTAGTTTAAATTGATAATGATAGGATAAAAAGAATTGAAATAATCAAATACCAAATTAGGAAGGTAAAATTAATTTCCTTTTTTTTCTTGTCGTCATGAAAATATATTTGTGACAATCGATGACAATATATTAAAGAGAAAATGATGTTATAGATCGATAGAAGGGAGAGAGAGAGAGAGAGAGAGAGAGAGAGAGAGAGGGAGATAGGAGAAGAAAGAATAATGAATTCATCGATTTTATTGATGGTTGCAGAGATGGAGGATGGATGGATGGATGGATGGATGGATGGATGGATGAAAGAATAGATGAATGAATGTGTGTTACCACAGGATTTCATGAGAGCCGCGTTTTAAACATCTGTTACCTTAATTGTTTCGTGATTTTAATTTACGATAACTGATTATTGATAATGATAAAACATTAATGATAACAATAGCAATTTGAAATAAGGGTGAAAATCTAGTGATTATATGAGATATGACGAATAAAATAATAGTGATAATATCAAAAATTTGATGAGATTTGTTAGTGATAATAATGATGATAAGATAAGACATTGAAAGTCTCTTTGTTGAAATTTTTGAAGAAATGTATTGAAAGAATATTAACTACAATTTTTAGATCTTTGGTTAATATCAAAATTTTTGTATATTCGAAAATTTAATTAATCAAAAGTTTTATTTTTATTTTTTGATAAATTTAAATATTCGTTTCAAACATACTGTAAATTAGTTTTTTCATTGCTTATTTGTAAGAGATTATGTGATATTAGCAATATATATACTCAAATATTGTATATACTCAAGCTGTATATATATATATATATATATATATATATACTATATAATACTATATATATACTCAAACACATATATACAAATAACAATATATACTCAAATACCCAATATATACTTAAATGATATTCAAATATACTCAATATATACCGCAATATATATTCAAATGATTGGTTAATATTGAGATGAATACGTTATCGCTAAAATAACGTATTTATCCGAGATAGCGTATTATTCGGGAAATTCGATAACGACTTATAACCGCAAACGTCATTTACGAATTTATATGAAGCACTTATGTTTAATAATAATCATTTGAAGAGATTGTTTAATGAAAAGCATATAAGTAAACAGGATGTATTTGACAGATTTATTTAAATTAATGATTTATTTCAAATTTTGAATATTCTTTGAAAATTAGACTAATTTTAAATTACAAGAGAGAATGAGAAAAAAAGAAAGGATATGGAAAAAGATGAATTGTTAAGAAATCAATCAAATAACTTCATAACAAATATTTCTAATTTTAAATTATATTTCTATAATCAAATGTTCGATTAAAAATCAATTATTTAAATAATTATAGCTAATTACTGATAACTAGTAATTATTAACTTGCAGCTACTGATAATTACAGTGAAACAATCACTGATAATTCCCGTGATAAACCGAATTTCATACATTAATAATAACAATAATTCTGGTATATCAAAACTGATCGATTTAGTTAATGTAAAATGCATTCTTCGCTCAAAGCTCAATTACAATGGTTAAATAAATTCACTAACCTCATAACAATGTTAATTATCAATCAAGCTATCTATCACATCTATCATTCCAAGTTAAATTGAATTCTTTACTCCTTGTGTATAAAAGTAAATTTTTTAATTTGAAATGATATATAATTAAATGTTTCATTGATTTCTAAATTAATATATAATATGTAATTTTACATCGATTCATTAAACATAATTTGTCTTCTTTCTTAACATAATATCTATCGATTTGCGATTTACTTATTTTGTAGTATTTATCTTATCCAGAAAAAACGTTGCAAAAATGCTATTACAATTAGAATTTCACTTTCACTTCATTTCATCCATACTGAAATGAAAAGTTGTGAAGGATAGCTTATTTGACAAAATGAAAACGAAAGGAAAGACACAAAATGATTATTTTTCAGAAATAAATTTTCCAATGGAAAAAAATTTAATTTTCTAAAAATTTTTTTGCTATTTTATATTCGATTAGAAGCAAAGAGAAAAAATTTAATTTTCCAAAAGATTTTTGTTATTTTATAGTTTTTTAGAAATAAATTTTCTAGAAAAAAAAGGAAATTTTCGAAGCAAAAAAATCTTTGGAAAATTAAATTTCAAAATTTTTTCTATTTTTCAATTTATTATTTTATAGTTTACAATTAATTATTCTATAGCTTAAAAAATTTTGTCAAATATTTTCTAAAGATTAAATTAAGTCAAATTAAATCAAATTCAAATCTTTTTTCTATTCACATTCATATTATTATTAATTGTACCATAAATTATTGAAATTAAATAAAAAAATTAATTAGCTTACCGAAATTGATTTGTTCTGCTTAATGAAACTTTCACCAAATATTACAATAATAGGCTTTATTAATCATTGATAAAAATTGATAATACAGTAAGCTAAAAGTACCAAAGAACTGGCAAAATAAAGAGTAGAAAAAGAGGTGGAAGGAAAAGCGATGGTACCAAAAAATCAAAAAATCATTTTCTATTAATTGCGTAAATATTTGCGATATTTGTTTGCAATGTTCGTGTTTTCGCAGTTTCCTTATTTAAATAATTTTTATTTATTTATTCTAATCTTTCCTATCTTCAATTTCTTCGCCAAATAGTAACAAATCAGTTATTGTATTAAATTTAATTTTAAATTATCATTTCAAAATTATATTATCAGATAGCTTTTCAAATTTTACTTTTACTGATTGTCATATATTTGTAAAAAGTTTTCGAAATTATATCGCGTAAATAGTGAAAGATAAAATGAGATTTCATACAAAAAATATGAACTAAAATATGAACTGAGCAAAATTTAACAAGAGGATGGAAGAAAAAAGTTGAAATTGCATAACTAGTACAAATAAGCTTTACTATACTATTTGTTTATTTTATATTATATATGTGTTTGCAGGAATGAAAAGATATATAACATATGGCTGCTTACGTATGAGTTTACGTACTATATCTGCTCACGTACGTATCATATATGTATATTGAACGTACGAATAAATATTGAACAAATATATTCACGTATGCATATTTAATGGATTTTGTCCAATAAAAGTATACATTATGATGTGCTGTTTATCATTTCCTCGACGTATTTAGCTTAGGCTTGTTTAGCTTAAGCTGCATATAGGACTGAAATGTATGCTTCATTTGGCTTTTAGGCATTAACTTCAAAATGGAAAATGTTCGATAGAAGAAAAGAATGAAAGGAACGAAAGAGTGAAAAGAGGAAGCAAATTCGATTTATAAATACTCTTTGCATTACTAATAGCCTTCGCTAAGCACCCGGTTTGTATTAGTACGAAAGAATAGTAGCGGTGATTGTAATATCCCCCGCTCTCTTCTTTCTAGTATCCCCCGCTCTCTTCTTTCTAGTATCTCCCGCTCTCCTCTTCCTCCTCCCTCTTCTTACTCCAATACCTTCTCGAATGCCTCCGCTTTTTCAGTATTTCATTTCTTTTCTATCTATCTTTTCCATTGTTTTATCTTAAAGTTTAGCAAAAAAAGCAACAATTTTTATGATATTTCAATTTGAAAGAAAAAAGTCTTTTCGAATAGTTTTAATTAAAATGAATTATGAATTGTAATTAATATGATCAAGAAGATTATTGATAAGTTTAATATCAATCACTGATAACATTTGTTGAGAAAATTATTGATCAGATGGAATGCTTCAATTCATTCTTCATCCTTTATTGTTTTACTTAACTATTATGCTTTTTTCTATGGTATATATAAAGCAATAATAATTATTGATAAAACGGAATGCTTCAATTCATCCTTCATTCTTTATTGTTTTACTTAATCATTATGCTTATTTCTATGCTAAAATAAGCGTTTGCGGTAATCAAATAATCAAATAATAATTTTGAAAAATGGTTATTGTTTCTTTTTTCGATATTTGGAATTTAATTGAATAATATTCTTAATTTGTTTATAGTTTAATTGCGTGAGGTCAAAAGTCAACAACAGAATTAATTATATGTGAAAAAGGTGTAAAACATGATTTTACCCATACATATTGTGCAAAGTATTCGTTTTTATTTGATTTCAGGTAATTAATTACAAGTAGTTTTATTAGAAAGTGACTAATTATCATCAAAATTATAATTATTGCTATCATGCCATTATCATAATTATCATTTTGAAATCAGAATTTAATGTCTTTTCATTATCTATTATAAATTGAAAAAACAATTGTCATATTTGCTTTACTAAATTGAACTAAATTTTTTGTTCTATTCAAGTAATTCATTACAAAATACGAAATACCTCAATTGTTGAAATATTTATTGATTAAAAAAGAAATTCAAATTTATTTTTGTTTTATTTCGAATTCCCAAAAGATAAAAAATAAATAAATGAATTGGTAAATTGATATGATATTGATTGATAATTTTAATGATGAATTTTCCTATTCTCTTACATATACATCTATAAAATACGAATAGATTTTATTAATCCAAAAATAATAAATAATTTATTGACAGATGGCAAATTGATTTTAGAATTAGCAAATTGGTGCAGTCGGAAGGATTAATTGTCAATCTTAGCCTTTTTTTTTATAATAAATTTTCTGTTCTAAAATTGGCATATAAAATTCTTAAGAATATTTTTCACTTTTATAGGCATATCGATTGAAATTATTTAACGAATGCTTCATTTCATTTTAAATTTTAATATAACATTGTTTTAAACTTTAATATATCAATTGAACAGCTTCATGGATAATAGCTAAAGGCTTTTTCCGGATCCAGCAATATAATCTATGATAGTTTTTTTGATTCGTTCATCATTTTCCGTTCAATGTGATAATGTTTTATATACTTCATTGTTAAATTTCAACAAAGTATATCAATTGAAATGATTAATTGATTGATAAAGACAAAATGTCAAAAAAACGGCATTTTTCTTTATTCATAATAATAGCTTATGCTTTCTACGAGAATATTTCATTTTTCGATCGAAATTTCCAACCCAATTTTCTTATTTTTACTGCTATATATACATATTGGGATTTCTATTGATATTTTCAATATAAATATTATGTAATAATAAAAGATATGAATTATTGATTTGTTTCATCAATTATTGATTTACTGCATTGTATGAATAATGTTGAGGACGAAAAATGAACTAATTAATTGATTAATCCTAATTTGCTTCATACTCTATAAATTACTTTTTTAGACAATAATGACGGTATTTACAAAAGTTAAAAAAACACCTGAAGTGAAGAAAGCATTGAGATCAAATGAATCTGCAACAATTTGCGTTGATTCAGCTGTTTATCAACGTGATGAAATGGGAACATTTGCCCGAATACGACAATATAAAAAAATTACAAGTTTATGCATGATATTTTTACTACTTTGGTTATTAGTAGCATCATTTATGGCTGGCACATTTTTCTATCGTCAATTTCATCGTCGTCCAACATATTATGGTTGGTGTGGAACGAGTTTCATTCAACGTGGTCGTAATGAACATATGGAAGAAAGTGTGGAAATTAATCCTGATGAAGTAAGAATATTTGATTATATATATATATAGGAGCTAAATTTGACCAAACTTCATTATTTTTAACTAATTAGCTTTTTGTTTTTGACTCTAAGCTTATTTTTGATATTTCATTTTTCTAGGGGAGTTTTACTTATTGATTATATTTTTTGACAGTATTATTTCACATCCTTTTGAAATTATCACAATGACAAAAATTTTGATATTAAATTCCAAATAGTTCAATTTTGTATTATCACATATCATTATCAGTTTTTCCCACACAAATTACGCATACTATTTTATGCATCAAAATTTTGCAACTTCTAAAAATTTGCTAAATATTTTCGAGAACTATTTTTACTGTAATTCTCTAACAAAAATTTTACTTCATTATTATCAACAAACAATCAATGAATTTTCGAAAAGTTTTATTTCACTTAATGATTTTCCAAAACCAAAATGATCCGTCGAAGATATTGCATAATAAAAGATAAATGAACTTGTCGTGTTTTAATCTATCACAATCTTCCATCCTTCCTTACCAAGCAATTATCAACTCTTTCATATAATTCTTCAACAATGTCTCAGAATTGATAAAATAGGCACAATACATTTTGATGCAATTTAAATTCAATTTTTCTACTCTTTGCTTTGATTAGATAAAATGGCTAATTTTTATCTTTTTTTAAAGCCTTTTATTTCCTTCTCTTTTTTTTTAAGGCCTTTTATTTCCTTCTCTTTTTATTTCAATCGACCTATTTTTAACGATTATTTCACTAAGAATGGATTTATGCAAATAACTTTTCAAATATACAAATTCAACAAAAAACGTTTTATTTATTTAACGAAATAATCTGAACGATAAAAATGTTTGTTTTTCAAAAAGAAAAGATTTGAAAATTTAAAAGTTTAATTTAATGAAAGAATTTTGAAAGATAAGAAATGGAAGAAAGTCGATCTTTACCTTCCGTCGATCTTTACTTATAAATATAGAAAATATTGAAATTCATTGTATATTGAAGATATTGATAACTTTTAAATATTAAGATTTAATATTTATATAAATATTGAAGTGGTAATTTATATTTATATTAAAGAATATTGAAATTCATTATATTATGTGATTGATATATGCATAATTGATATTAAATCAGAGATTTTGTGATTGTGAATTTTCAATAATTGAAATTTTATTTGAATTGATAACTAATGATTTTAAAATGAACAAATTTTTCACTAAAGCAATTTTCTAATAACTAAACTTTCTTCTATAAATAATTTGCAAATATTAAAATGAACAAATTTTTTTTACTGAAATAATTTCGAAAATAATCATCCATCGAAGATATTTGTGATAGTATAATTTGTTTGATATACATAAAAAATAATTTTTAAATTATTAATTAAAATTGAAAATGTAAGGATCATTCATTTACAAATATGTTCACCCGAAATTATTTGCATTATTTGTAAGATAAATTATCGCGAAATGATTTATAACCATTCATTAATGATCTCCTTGCGCCATTTATAATTATCAGAGACATTTATCAGTGATATCGATTAATTTTCTGGAATATATTCTGTCATTAACGATAATTTATTTCCAGTTAATTATTTTGCAGTATTATGAAAGGATTAGTGTACCACGATTTGGTTCAAATCGTCCAGCAGTATTTGTGCATGATTTTAGAAAGGTAATCATCCGTTTTCGAAATTAATATCAATTTTGAAAAGAAAATAATTTTTTTAAAGAAATGAAAAAAGTAAAATAAAAAATCCTTTGTTGGATTTTTAATTTATCAATCGAAATTATCATAAATGAGAAATACTTATCAATCGAAATTATCATGAATGAGAAATATTATTAGCAATAATTTTTTAATTATTAATGAAATTGATAATGTAAGGATGAATTTTGCATAGATTAAAATTTTAATTTGTCAAAAATAATTTGAATAATTATCAGTGCAACAAGTTGTTGTAAATACTTGCATATACTAACTTAATTTCATCTCAAAAATTATTTAACATTTTTCAACTTTGATAAAATGCAAGACAATAAAATAGCTTATCATTACATTCGTATAAAAGAGTATGGAAATAATTAAGCAAAAAAAAAAAGAACATAGCAAAATCTTCTAACTGATAATTATTCTGACAGCTTATGTATCATTTCACATTTCATTACAACGAATTATTAAATAAATAAAACTATTTGTTGAAAAATTTAAATTGAACTTTTCTTTTTTTAAAATTTTTCTTCACTTGTACTATTTTGATAATAATTTCTTCTTTTTAAATTATTTTATAGAATTTAACAGCGATAGTTGATTTGTTATCAAATCGTTGTTTTATCAAAAAATTGGATCGAACGGTTGTTTCAGCACCAACAAATCTTATTGATTTCATCGAAAAAATGAAGGTTTTACCTTCATCTTCTTCATTTACAACAATTTAGTATGAAGAAAAAGTTTTTGTTGAAATTTTAAAGAAATTAAAAAATTAGTGCAAATGAAAAAAGTTTTATTAGGAATAGAAATTTTATAAATTTAAATAATTATTTCACCTGAATGTTTCTTTCTTTGTTTTTTAATTGTTTCTTTTTAAATTGAAAATTTAAAAGGTAAAGAATTGAAATTTAAGAATGAAATAATTCCAATATTATCTCGATTAACAGGTAGGTTTAATTTTAATTAGTAAATGTTAAAGGTAAATTTTGGTGCTTTCTTTTTTTCATCTAAAGAATAGCAAGAAATTTTGTTGTTGAAAAAAATATTTTTTAATTTATTATAATTAACAAATGAAATAAATGATTGGATAATTGTGATATTAGGAGATTTTTGCAATTATTAAAAATTTCAAATCATTTCATAATTTTTTTCTCATTACAGAAAGGATTCTATAAGAATCCAGCAGTTGTCAGGAGAACTTATCGAATAACCGGTCGGATTGATGGTCGTGATATTGAAAATTTGCAATCACCAATGATCAGTCATCACTGTCAACAACGGACCATCTTTGAACTTAACGAAGCTTCCAAATCTATGGGACGCCAACAATGGCGTAGACACAAACGAGGTTAGATTTATACTAAATCATATTTTTGAAAGGTGGAAGTTTGAAAATGCATAATTAATCGATTATTTAAATATACTTTATACTTTACAGTTCGCCTTGAAAATTCGTTAGAACAGAAATGAAATATTAGCATAAAATTTTAGAAATGATTATTTTAGAAATGATTATTTAAATTTCCAAATCTTTTTTTAATATTTATATTAGCCTACTGCTTCTTACATTACTTATAAATATTCCGAAATTTTAAAAGCTTTCATTTTATATCTTATAGTATAATTCCTTCGTATATCATTAATGATACCATTAATTAATAATTTTATTATTAATTAGTGATTTTATTCATTAATCATTAATTATTTATATATCATTAATAATTGATTTTATTCTTTTTTAATTTTAGTTTCTTTGAATATTTTTTGTTGAACAATGAATTCAACATTGTGTAAACTTAATTTCAGAAGTGTCTGAATCACTGCAATTTGCTGTCCTAAGTGGTCAAGCAGTTGAAATGGATAAAATTATAATTGAATGAAGTGATTGCTGCAACATAATTGATCTGTAGGAATGGAAGAGAGTTTCATGATTGTGCATCCTTATTTTTAGTGCTCGAGCTTTTTTCTATAATTTTAAAGAAGGGACAGGTCAAAGGTTACAACTACAATGTTAATAATGAATATTGCAATAGCAATATTAGTTGTTGAATTAAATAAGAAAATGTTAAAGATTGTATAAACTTTATTTCGTCCTTCAATATGATTGTTGTGATAGCTATTTTAAAAATACTAAAAGCTTTAAATTGTATTACGAATTAATGACTACTATGTAATGAAGTGATTTGCTAAGCAGTGATGAATAAAGTTTTCATCACAAATATTTATCACACAAATTTGGTGCTAATAAGTTTTTACTAAGTATTATAATAAAGAAGACAAATGAGGAAATAATTAATTGGCCTACAAAATCTAGCATGATCGATTTATAAACAATATCTGAAAAGTTTCATTCTTCTGAGTTTATTTGATAAATATACAGATGACTCATATAAATAGACAATTCATTTTGAATATTTGATATCGTGAATTAATTAAATAAAGTAAATTCATTAAATGCATATTATTGTTTATGATTGGAATATTATATAAATTGATAGAAGTAAATTTTACTAAGTAATTGATTTATGATCTTCGTCGGTAATAAGAATTCTATTGACAGTTTTGATAAAGTATCAGTGATGTAAGAGAAGATTCATTTATGTTATTAAGTGAACTATAATGATTATTTCAACTTTTGATGTCACTTTCTTCATTGCTTTAAATAAAACTTAACTTTTTGCAACAAATCATGCATAATTCTGCCCTTATTATTAAACTAATTAAATTACCACTTACTTAAGCTATCACATTTTTAATACAAATAAATTATTGCATAATTTTTAATACATGGATGAAGTGACCTCGATAAAAGCTCTCACTCTCATGGTAGTTCTTGTAATAGTTTGATAATGTATCAGTGATGTAAAAGATAAAGGCTCTTATTTTCATGTGATAGTTTGATAAAGTATCAGTGATATAAAAGATACAGGCTCTCTCACTTTCATGCGATGGTTTGATAAAGTATCAGTGATATAAAAGATAAAAACTCTCACTTTCATCACACGATCAGATGGGATCGATTTTCGGAGCGATGATCTTTGACTTAAAAAAATGTTTAATTATGAATTATAACCAAAGCTGAGTAGCATGGAAATTGTTATTGGGAAGGGAAGGAGGATGGATGGAAAAAGAGAGAAGTGATCTTCATGGAATCTTCATGGATTAAAAATATGCCACAAATGATATATTTCGAATGATTGCAAAGTTTTTCATCTTTTGAAGTTGCAGAAAAATCGCTTTCTAATTCTTTAAATGCAGAAATGCACGTTTTTGAACATTTAATAATGCGGAAATGTCCATTTTTTAATGCGGAAATGTCCATTTTTAATGCGGGAATGTCCACTTTTTTGCCTTTCAAAATTGAAAGAATTGTGGAATGTTAATTTTTGAACAATTTGAAGCTCCAAAATTTATGATATCTTTTTTCCTCTTTCGATGTATCCTAATGAAGCTTAATGACCTATTATTACTACTTAACTCTTCGCTTACTAACACACGGAAATACATGGATGACGTGATCTCGATAATGGCTATCAACAAACCAGCGAATATACTCTATCCTCCGGTTATCAACGATGAAGGAAGTTCAGAAAAGTCAGCCAACAGCGGTTGACAAAAAATCAGTTCAGAGAGCAGATGAACAGGAAAAACCTATTGCGCTCTACGAATTAAACGTATTATATAAGGTCGAACTCTCCAACAGAAACAACGAGAGTATTAATCCAACAGAAAGAAGACAAAACAACACCGAAGGTATTTCAGTCGGAAATATCGGTGTATTCTAAAATAATTTCATGTAATATAAAAATATTTACATAATCAAAATATCGCTACAATCGTGAAATATATTTTATAGATATCAAATATTCTCAATCAAATGATTTAATATGATTTGCTCAATTCATTATTCTAAAGAATATTGTAAATGATTTACATTAAATAAATCCATTCTTACCATCGATATTATGTATCATATGCTCAAGCAATTCTTTGTTAACCAACAGTTTTATTGTGTATTTACTATAAACAGTGCTTATCGAACACTACCAACCGGAAAGGAGGGTATTCAGGATAACTATTGCTTCCAAATCAAATAGTCTAATCATTCTTATTCTTGATATTTTCTGATTATTGTTTTTAGAATCTAAAAGCAAATAAACTCATCTTCCAGCAATTATCATCTGCATTTTAGACTATTGAAATTAAAAACTTTTACGGCAATTATTTTTGTCTGAAAACGAATATTAATAGAATTTAGGCAATTTGATATTTTCAGCAGCATTATTTTTTACTTTATTATAATCAAGCTTTCGGTTCTTTTGTTTTCAATTATATATTATGAATAGATAACATATGCATAAGTTGAATTCTCAGTTATAACACTAACCTTTTACTGCAATGGTACTTTCATTTCAGATATTTTATCAGTGATAGATTTAATCCTTAAAACTTTAAAGTTGCATTTATTAGTTTAGAAATGAATTGATATCATAATTTTGGTATAATTGAATTAAATGATTAAATGAGATATTCTTTCACAACACTGAAGTTGTTATGATGAAAGTGTGCAAATAGCAAAAGCGATAGAAATGATAAAAGTTTTATATGATAAGGAAAAAAGTAGTCAGCATCAAAAATCTATTTACTAATCTTATCATTTTTCCAAACAGAGATAATGCTATCTTTTTAAATGAAAGTGAATAAAATTCATTATGCGAACTCACTTCTTTTATGCTTTCTCATATGATATTTAAATGTTATTTTTGTTATCAGTTTATATGATTTCAGCATGAATAATCTTAATAATGATTATTATGCATTATGTTTAGCATATCATTTTAATTATAAGTATGGTTTAATATCAGGTCTGTATAATTTTTACAATTATCTGTAATTTAACAAATTTTCCATGATTTTTTTATCAGTTAAAGAATTCTATTAATAATATCTAATTAAAATTGGCACCCTCTTATTTGATATTTTTACTAATAATGGTATTCCGATCTTCGATAAAATTAGATATTTTATTATTGTGTAATATTAACAATAGTTGAGCTAAAAATTATTGAAGCATAATATTGTCATCACAAATATTATGTGAAATTCTGGAATTCTCAAAGATTGAACTATCTGATTCAGAGTATCATTTGCGGTATTCGAAATTTCTCGCATTTCAGTTGACCTCCAACTAGCGTTGCGATCAGCGTTTTTCGTCAATGATCGCACAATGTGAATTATAATGTAGTTAATTATAATAAAGTTATAATAAAGATAATGAAGATAAAATTATAATAATTAAATGCATAATGTGAGAATTTAATTTAGTTCCTTTATGCCTTTTTGTTCATTTAAGGCATTATTAAAAAGGGAAGATATTTTTTAAATGCCATACTTCTTGCCTGATATTAAGTAATGATATCTGTGTGACTTTATCCGATTTCATTTTCATATGAAAAATTTTCAACAAGCTTTGTTAGCATTCTTTTTTTTTACAAATTGAATTTTAATAATCCTTTTCATTTATTTCTTCTTTCTAATTAGATAATTATTTAGCTTCATTCCTTTTTTTTCCGCCGAAATATTTCAATTTCTTTTTGGATGGATCCATTTCATTCTGCCATTTTTCATCGTATTGAGTTTCGTTTAATCATTGTGGTTGTCATAAAGCTATCATCAGTAATTGCATTTGTTTATTATCATTCTACAACGTTTTATTTGAATTTAAATTAAATTTTCTAAACTTTGGATTTGTTTTAATTTCTCATTCATGCAGTATACAGTCTTTTGGGTATACACAAAGTAAAAATGTTCGCAGTTTTTTCAACTTAATTTTTTAATCGGCTTTTTTCAAATAGAATTTGTTTTCAGTGAATTTATGTTTTAGAATTATTTCGTACCACTTGTGATACAATCGCTGTGTCAACATTGTTTTTAATTTTAATTTTAATTGTACTTAAAAAAGTTTTAATTTGTTTCAGCTATATTTCTCGTCATATCTATAAAATTTGATTTGATAATTCAAATCTTTGAGTGAAAGCACCAGTTTGCTGTAATTTCAAATTATGATACCAACATTCTACAACATACCTTGTAGGTTAATTAGTAATTTATAGTAAAGTTTTTATATAAATTAGACAATCATAATAAAATAATTAACCGTATCAATTTAATTTCATTCGCCCTTCTAAAGATGTTTAAATAATTTTGAAAAAAAAAAAGAACCAAATTTTACGATGACGGATACGTGCGCAATATATTTATTAAGTTTCGCGATGATAGTTTGAGAAGGACAACTGCGTTTTTGCGGCTCTATCTATTATGTGTGCAAAATAATTGAAATGATGAATGTGTTTTGGCTGGTTTCATTTTTTTTTCAAACAATGTAATTTTGGATGTAATTTTTAAATGATGAGATTTGGATGATGCAGTTTTTGACAGAGCAGAATTTTAGTTTGCTTCTCATTCTTGCGCTTTTAGCACTTCTTAATTTTTTCCTCCGTAAAACTTTATATTTCTAAACTTTAAATATCAAACCAAAAAGTAATTGATATCAAAAGTTTAAAATGAAACTCTCAAAATCCTCTTTAAACAATTTTCGATTTTATACAACAAATTCTTAATTTTGTATATTGCCAGGTTTTTTTTTTTGTATTTTGTGAATTTTTACCTGTAATTAAACAATATGAAAATCTAAAAAGTTTATTCAACTGATTATTGTTTGTTATAACGTGGCGGTAATTGTAAGTAATAGTAATAGTAGGCGCAATTGTTTTCCAATTTTTTTAGCCTACATTTGTTGCAACTCATTCCAATGATACAAATGTAAAAATGCTTTTTTTTAATAAGTTTTCTATGATGGAATGATTGCGCAACAATGCTTACTGCTTTTCCGATGCTAATTAATCACCAACTGTTCCGAAAAGCTTCCATTTCCTTGTCATATTCTCGTCCATTCCGTTTTTTTCCCCAATGCTTCTATTCCGTCTTTTCCCACTTGAATTCGGTTATATTCCCTGGTTATTAGAATGTTTCTATTTGATTCAATTCCATGAAAGTTCTTTATTTAAAAGATTTAAATTTCAAAATATCATTTTTGTCATTCTTTTATAAGCTGCAAAAGTTTCATGCATTAGTAGAATTTCATATAGCTGTCAATATACCGTAATCAGACTTTTTGACAAAGATTTATAAGCATGCAATTAAAACATTTCGTTTAATCTAAGCTTTTGATGGTTGTAATATGCCGCCTTCTCACTGATAACTCATTGAAATTCATTTCGTAAATTTTGATAAATTCATTTATTATCATTTCTAAAGCTTAATAAAATATCACATATTTTATTTTATGTGGAAAAGTTTCAAAAATTTTCTTTAAAATTTCAATTTATGCGTTCAGAATTCTGTTGATTTGTCGCGATTTAGGTAGGCAATGAATTACTAAATATCGCACAATATCATATCGCAATATCACAATATCATATCGCACAATATAGTTCTGACTGGCTATTTGATATACTTAATCTTTCTAGGGACTTTTTTCTCCTGTAAATTCAAGGACGAAAAAATTCTGAAAAACTGTTTGGAATGAGTAATGATTTTACAACTGGAACTATTTGACGATCATTAAATTTTAATAAATTCTGATTAAAGCTAATTGTAGAAATACGTTTGATATCAACGTAATCTATTTATCTCTTATTTTCAAAATTATCTGCGAAAAATTAGTGAATTTAATGGATTTAAATCAATCGTGTTTAAAGGAATTATTCTGCTTGATAATTTATTCATCTCTTCAATGTGTTACATTTTACACTTTTTTTTATTGTTACGCTGATACATCCGATACATCATATCGTTAAGTGATAAATATGGCCATCACTCATTCATACTATATTTCATTACTATTATTATCATTATAATCTCAATTATGAGTATTAGTGCTGATGCATCTGCTATATTACCATCAGCGTTACTATCACGACCAAGCGTACGTCGAGGATCAGTTTTTTCGGATTTGGTTACAATTTTTCGCCGAAGTAATTCACATCCAAATCGATTATTTCGCTATCTTTCACGTTCATCAACTAGTAGTAGATCGAAGAAGAATGAAAAGCAGTAAGTTATTTCATTATATTTTATTATTACTTGATTACTATCAATTATCATCAGTTGTAAATGACAATTAAATTTTTATAATCTTTGATTTAGTACTATTAGTTGTTGATGGTGATGATATAAGATGATAATGATAATGGATAATGAATTATGTCAGAAAATTGCTGCAATACTTAAATTTATAATTGAACGTTAGAAACGATAATTAAAAATTGAAAGTTAGAAGTTAATAATAACTATTAACTATTTATTTAATTGCAATTGTTAGCTATAAATTTGACAATATTATTGCTTCTTACTAACATTTTAAATTGCTATTAGTCAATTTCTACCATTAAAGCCGCTTTTCAGTACACACACACACACACACACACACACACACACACATACACATACACACACACACACATACACATACACAGATACAAGTAACAGCTGTTATGTTTAGAAGAAAGAGAGGAATGAATGCATTTTGTTAAATTTAACAATCAATCCTTGTCAACAGCAATGTTAGTTTTCCGTACGATTTTTGATTAATTAGTAAAAGTTTTTTCTTTAAAAAAATTTCTGAAGTAAAAGAAATGTAAGAATATCTTCACCAATAACCTTAATAAAGGTCATTCAATTTTAAGTAATTTTATAAAAAGCGCAATTTTAATATTTAAATTTAGCCGAAAGCTGGTTGGCTGGCTGGCATTAATACTTATTTTAAAATGTTTGTTAATTTATTTGGGAAGGATGAGGGAAATTTAGTTTGAATTAGTTAGAAGATGTAATCATTAAATGATAGATAAATAATAACGAAGAATGGAATAAATTAAAAAGGACTAAAAGCATCTGACACTTTCTTTATTTTAGAAGAATAAGTAAATGTGAATTTAATAAATGAACTTATCCGAATGATTCAAAGGAATAAATTTTTAAAATTATTGTAGGAAAAAATATTTCATTTAATACTGTAGTATTTTAGTCATTTAATAACGAAGATTCTTATTTTATCGATCTTATTAGTATTATTGATAGCATCATATTATCAGTATAGTTCTAGCTCTGATAAGATAGCAGAAATTAATTAGCACAAGAGCTCTTATATTAGGTTATCAGAAGATTAATAATGATTATTTGGAAAAGAACATTAAGCTAAGTGTTACGAGTAAAATATTCGCTTTAAATTATATTTATAGAGAATTCGGTAGTCATTATCAATATTATAGTTAGGAAGATATTGATATCAATATTATGATCGTAAAAAATTATGATAAAATATGATAATTTGGGATTGGGAGTGAGTTAGCAGATAAATCTTAAAGATTGAAAAGAAAGTTTATATATAATAATTGATATTTTAGGGAAGCCGGAAAAAATCTGAAGCCAACAGCATCTACTTATGAGCAGAATCAGGAAGAGGAATTAGAAGAGAATGGTGAACCGATGAGTCGTCAAGTATTGTTGGATAAAATTCGGGAAAAAAAGGAAGTGATTGGAAAATTACGTTGTCAGCCATGGAATATGAATCGCAAGCGACGAACATTGAAGTAAGCATGTCATACTCTTATCAGTATTATTGATACCATCGTAATATCTGTATAGTTCTAGCTCTGATAAGATAATATAAATTAATTAGTACAAGAACTTTTATATTAGGCTATCAGGAGATTAACAATGATTATTTGAAAAAGATGAAATAGAATCATTCAATTGAATTTTGATAAAATGTTGCGAAAGTTTTTCTTATCTCTCTTTTTATTTAAATTAGTAATAAATTAAAATTTTTAGAAAGTATCATCGAACATTTGACATTTTATAATAATAACAATTATTCAAAATAGGATAGCAATGAATAGTTATGGTATCTTTAAATGAAATCCATTTCAAAATATTTGAAATTTAAAGATTTTAGGAATAAGAATGGATGATTTAAAATTCGGTTGATTTGAAAAATTTCTTATTTAAAAGTGATATCAACAACATTTAAAAGATTGTTGCATACCTATATCTTATTCAGATTCCGAATTGTTGTTTCACTCTTTTTTTCATAGATTAGCGCAGAACTATCTGGCGCAACATGAATCACGGGTATCCAAGACACATTTATTGAAAGTAGAATTGAAGAAGAGATGGAGTGCGTTCTGTCGTTGGGCAGATAACGTCAAAATTTACCTGATACCATGGGAAGCTAAAATTAAACGCATTGAAAGTACATTGTTTATGTTAAATTTTGATTATTATATTTTTCTAAAAATCTTTTCAATGCTTCCAAATTATTTTAATAATTAGTTTGCTAAGCGAAATTCTTAAAATTTTGTTATTCTAGGTCATTTTGGATCCGTGGTATCCTCATATTTTACGTTCCTACGTTGGATTGTTTATGTGAATTTGATAATTACTTTGATTATAATCTCATTCATCGTCATTCCAGAGGCTCTCTTCCAATCTTTTTTTATTTGTAGTTATTGGTGAAATTAATTTTAAAATTTAATTTTCTTTATTTTATTGATAGTTTCTAATTAAGTTAATCGTAAATTATTAAACTTATCATTTACTTAAAACTAATTAGACAGAGAAATTGATAACAAGTTTTCATTAGAAAGTAACTCTTTTGCTCCTTAAAAAGAGTAATGCAATAGCTCAAGTATTTTATGTTTTTGTATATCTTGAGAATATCAGACTTTACTAAAAGTATTGTGTGTTGTTATCAGTTTATCAACTGATTTATCAACTGGATGAAATAATATGAAGATTTCCTCCTACAAGCACCATCTTATTAATGTATTTGCAGATGCTGGCGGATGCAGCAGCAGATCCCAATCGCGTTAATCGTACTGCATCAAGAAAAATTATCCCATCACGAGAATTAATCCATGCGGATGAATTACAAGTCGTCTCAAATTTTGATGTGCTCTTTTATTTATTCTGTTTATTATTAGTCCATCCTAATTGGATCATTCAATCTTCTCAAGATTAGAAATGTTTTATAGATAGCACAGATCTATCATATAATTATGAATTTCAATTACATTCTGATAAGAATATTATCGTATTATCATAATTTAGTATAAAATTTAGAAGGCATATGAAATTGATTAATTATGCCTTAAAATGGTTTTTTGCAATTTGAAGTAAATTAAAAGGATTAATTAGCCAAACATAATTGATAGAGCTATTATTATAAAATTTAAAATTCATTTTTTTGTACAAATCTATTAATATTCAATTTCTTTTCATTATCATATCACATTTCATTTATACCTTTCATTATTATTACAGGGCTATCTTAAGTATTCACCGCTCTTCTACGGTTACTACAGTAATGATGAATTTGTTGGAGCCCGAGTACGGTATGCAGTACCATTGGCCTATTTTATTATTACCCTGTTTGTATTCGGATATAGCTGCTTTGCAATCCTCAGCAAGTTAGCAAACTTTATTTAAGCTTATTTAAAAATCTAACGATTTTCAATTTTCCTATTTCAAAATGTAATAATCATTGCAAATGATACATGGATTAAAAGAAGCCTGAAAATTTTGTTAAAATTTTTTGTCTTTAATAAAAAACTTCGAGTTAATTTAGTGAAAGCTACTAAGTGAAAAATCAAAAAACTGATAAATTAATGTGGCGTGGAAATTTTTGTTATATTTTAGTATATTTTAATACAGTTTAAATTGGTATTAGTTAGAAGTAAAACATGAAAAAAATATTGGATTATAAGAAAATGGTAAAAATATAGATTTTAGTATATTTTCAAGAGTTACTTACTCTTTATAGGATGGCGATGAATGCTCGGCTTAGTAAAATGTCTGATCAAAGAACGGATCAGTATATATTCAGTTGGAAATTATTCGGCGGTTGGGATTATACTATCGGTAATAGCGAAACAGCTAGTAATACTGCAATGGCTCTTGTCATCAAAATTAGGGTACATCTATTTTTCTTGTCTTTTTAATTAAATAAATGAAATTTAATTGTGCTCAATTAAAAATTTCCAAATTAATTACTTCCAAATCATTCTCTTTAAAACTATATTTACATCTATTATAGGAATCGATCGCTGAATGTCGAGTAAATTCGGAGAAGAAATTCAAACCATTACTTTTTTTGGCTCGAATAATAGCAAATGCTATTATCCTTGCAATGCTTGCATTTTCAATCTATACGATCTCATTTGCCGTTGAAACATCAGAAACAGTAGAGAAAGCTGGCAATTTATTTACAAAAAATCAAGTCCTTTTTTTAATTTCAAAAGCCATTTTCTATAAATAATTCTTCGCTATCTATAATTATTCTTAGACCTAATTTCTTTGACTATTTTTGAAAGCTTATTTTCTTTATAATTAATTTCTTTACTAATGCTATTTTAGAAAATGTAAAATCCAATGAGAATATCGTTGTAAGAATATTGTTTGTATCATTAAGAATATCGTTAGTATCGTTGTAATCCAAAATCCATTAAGAATATCGTTGTAAGCATTTAGGAATGATAAAAAAAAAACATAACCTATAAGCCTAGTTCGAATTATAATCTTCAACGCTTCAATGCTACTCAAATTTTCTTCAAAAGCTGGATATTTCTTTTTTTTCTGAATAGAACTAAATTCTAGTATCATCAAATATAAGAGAAGTTTGATCGTCATTAACATCGAACAAGAGTGTACACTAAATTCTAGTATCATCAAATATAAGAGAAGTTTGATCGTCATTAACATCGAACAAGAGTGTACACTAAATTCTAGTATCATCAAATATAAGAGAAGTTTGATCGTCATTAACATCGAACAAGAGTGTACACTAAATTCTAGTATCATCAAATATAAGAGAAGTTTGATCGTCATTAACATCGAACAAGATAGTACCGCTAAATTCTAGTATCATCAAACTAAGAGAAGTTTGATCATTATTAATATCGAACAAAATAAGTACCTTTAGTATTAAATATGTAGTATTTTAAGTATTTTCTAGTGTGTAGTAATAAGCGGAAATTTAGTATAAAATCAAATTTACACTTTAATCTATCACTATGTTTTTGTAGGTACCGACAATAATTGCCACAATAACCAATGTTTTTCCAATGATTTTCGATCTTATTGGCCAAATTGAAAGATATCATCCGCGTACTGCTCTTCGAACTCATTTAACAAGGTATGAATTGATATTAGTATGAGATGATATTACTAACAACATATGAGGTAATATTACCGGTGATATTACAATTCAACTACTATTGTTAGATGATTTGCTGCATCTTAGTTTGGCTAATAAATTCTTTAAAAAAAACTTTGTAAAATTTCCAGAAAATTTTTTTCTTAAAATGTTAAGTTAATTTTTGGACGAAAGCGACGATAATAGAAGATGAAGAAAATTGTTGAAGAAAATTTTCTGATTTTCTCGGATACAGAGATTTATCACATTTTAAATTTTGTTTAGAAATTTTAATTGATTTCATTTATGCTATAAGAGTAACTCTCATATCATAAAACAAAAATCAATTATGATTTAAAATTAAACATCGAACAATGTTTGTTTTTAACATATTTATTTATTGATATTGATAAGTTTTATTCTTCATTTTTTTTGCATCAAATAATTATTAAAAATTAATAAATAAGACAGTTTAGAGTTCTGGTTCTTTATGTGCTCAACTATATCACATTTATCATAGCGCTATTTGAGAAGCTCGATAAAATTCGTGATGATGAATTGATGAAAATTATCAACGAGCAAAATGCTATGGTATTCACTGTTCCATCTTTACTTCAATCAAAATAATATCTTTCACTCAATTATTTCAAATGATAACTTATCAGAGAAATATTTGCATTAGTTTATATACAAATCTGTTTTTGCACCGATATTATGATCAGCAAAAAATCGGAATTTCATTTGAACATTAAGGAATAAAAGATTGTTGTAATCTCAACATAATCTTCTCAATTCAGAATTTCCACAATACTCTCGCAGTAATATTAATAGTTTTTTGCTTTCCATAATTTCAAATGCATCATTATAAAATATTGCAAATTAAAAGAAAATTTTTTTTATTGTAGTTACTCCACGATGAGCAATATCCGACATCGACCAAATTTCACAGTCGTAATTTTGCTAATATCAAGCAAGCTAATATGTTCGCTAAGACATCTTTAGAACGCTTTTCGAATTATTATCAAAAATCATTCCAAAATGATGAGACGATACGCCAGAAGCGTGAAACATTAAACAATACATCATCCAGATCCAGATTTCCGGGCAATATTACAGTTAATTCTTTAATTTTGTCATTTCTAATTTTAGTATATAAAGTCGAGAAATTCATAGAAAGAAAAAATCTTCTTGAAGATCTAAACATATGTAAATTATCAACGGTTCACTAATTTTATATTTTCATAAATCTGTAATTGCCACTAGTTTTTATGGTATTACTGGGTTTGTATGTAATTTTATAGGTAGAATCCCATTATGGTCCAATTGGTTTGAACAATCCAAGTGCATTGCTTGTTAATAAGAGTTATCCATGGGATCAGGGAAGATTTCAAGCAATTCGAATTGGTCCACCATCACTTCCAACTTTTCCGATTCGACCTTTGCCACCTAATCCAACATTAAACACCAGTGTTCTTACGGTATATATTTATTTTTCCATGATGCCATCATGATGTTGTTTATTAGTTTTTATAATTGCAAAATATTGTCTTATGATTAGATGTAGCATTTTGCTGTTATTTACAAGTTATATCTGCTAATGCTTTTCATCAAATGGTTGACGATTTGAAGTTGAAATTTAAAATTTTCAAAATTCCAACACTACTTTTAGGAAGTGGGCCCACGTTGGCAATTAAGATCAAAATGGCAACAACCAAAAACTATGATCATGACAACAGCAGCAACAATAAATCAGAAATCACAAAATCAGTCAAAAATAATCTCAAAAACTTCTCGGACTCCATGGATTAATAAATGGAGACGAAAACCAACTAAAATTTTAGAAATGACAACTTCTATTCCGGTCGTAACTGTTGATTCCACGGGTAAGCTATCAAATGATAATCTTTTAAAGCTAAAAAAACGAAAATTGATACAATTTCAGAACGAAAAACCGCTACTACAAAAGCATCTATCTCTCTTACGGATTTTGATGATATGATAAGAACCGATAATACCTCAATTGATGGAATCAAAGGAAATGATACCATTGCACCTGCAATTTCTGAAAAAGTGAGCACTACTTTATCGAGCGAAAAAATTTCTGCAACTTCCTAATGGACAGCTTTGAATTGCATTCTAGACAATAATATTATTTTATGTATTGATAATATTTTTAAATGATTTATGTATTGATAATATTTTTTAAATGTTAACCGGATGAAATGCTATAGAAATGATGTCATCGTTTCCGTTAATGAAACCATAGTCGGAAATAAATCAGATGTAGAAAAATAGTACGATAGATCGGATAAAGACGAAATTTAAACGATGAGCTAATAATGGAAATAAATTTTAGTTTTTGGGCAAGAGTACTAAAAATTGTAAAAGGAAAACTTATCGTATTACCTAGGATATTATTTTGGGATTGATAAACATTTACTATCACTGATGTATAAAGAAATGAGCGAAGCACAGTATATCATCAAATTTCATGTTCACTTATTGCTTGAGAATATGATACTTTTTATTATATTATAATGTAAACAATAAACATTAAAAAATTAAGATTACAATAAATATTAATTAAACAAAGTTCTTTTCTCAAGCTGTTAGGTAGATATGCTTTGAAGGTCATTTTTCAAAGTTTTCATTTTAAGTTAATGGTCGATGTGGATCGAATAACGGGAGAAATACCAGAGCAGAAAATTTCATCGAATGAATCCAGAAAGCCACTCGTTGATGACAAATATTTTAAAGGTTTGCATCTCGTGAAAAATGCACAGAAACCAAATTTTAAGATGTTCGATCGAACTTTCATTAAAATTTCATATCATATACTAAATTCATCAAATTAAAGTAAAAAATTTTATAGAATTGAAAATTGTTGCCAGTGTTTTCTGCGTTAAATATATTTTTCAATTTTTCTATTTCATTACTTCTCTTTGTCTTCAAAATTTTTCAATATTAATTTATCAATTTATTTAATATTAATTTTTCATTTTAGATCTTTCGTTATAAATGTTTTTGCATAAATTTCATTTAATTTTAATTACATTCCATTGTTTTCAGTTTTTCTTAATTCTTGAATTGTTATAAACTTTGTTATTATTTCTAATAAAGGATAGGATGGATATAAGAGAAATGATGAAGAAATTTTTTGCAGCACTAAGCAATGAGACAGTTTATCAAATTGGAAAGCAAGCGCTTATAACCGGTGATGAACCGGAATTAGGAAATAATTTTTGTTGGGAAACAATGATCGGACAGGTAATATTTTCTATTATCAAAATGCCATAAATAAATATTATTTTAGGAGAGAAATAATTATTTTTGTTATTTAGGAGATTGCAAAATTAGTCACTATGGATCTTATAATAACTATTGCATCAATATTCATTATTGATTTCTTTCGTGATTTATGGATTAAGTATTGCAATTCATGGTGGTGTTGGAATATGGAAACAACTTTTGTTTGTTTATATTTTCTTTTACTAATCAATTTACTGATACATTATTTGCTGTATTGAATAATAGGCTTGAGTAAATATAAGCTATAGACATCTATTTATCATTACAAAATATATTGATTGAAATGTTTTAATCAAATCTCTAATTAATGCTTTTAATTATTTTCTATTTACATTGTGAAATGAAATTAGATGGACGGGGAAAAGAGAATTAGAATTAAGAAATTATTGATTTTTTTAAGAAAATTACAAACACAAAACTTCTGGAAGATATATATTTACATATACACAGAAATACATGTTGATAATTAATATATATTTTAGCCGGAATACGGAGAATTTAAGGTAGCAGAAAATGTACTTCATATTATTAACAATCAAGGAATGGTATGGCTTGGATTATTTTTTGCTCCTTTATTACCTGCATTAAATAATGTTAAATTAATCATTTTGATGTATATTCGAGGTTGGGCATGTATGACGTGCAATGTACCTGCACGTGAAATATTCCGCGCTTCAAGGTTACCTTTACATTTTCTGCAACTTTTTCTTTAGTATTAATAACAAGTAAATCTTCACATAATAGCCATTAACATTATTATTGGTGTAAAGAATGATAGTATTATATTGTATCGCTGATTTTTTCGGAGATATAATTATATGGTATTTACTATAAAATATCAATATTATATTAGGTACCATATTTAAGTATTTGATATTTTATGGATAGAATAATGGTGCGGTAAACCAAAATCAAAGTAAAATTATTTAATTTGATGAAACTTATCATTTGCTAAAACTTATCACTTATCACTTATCACTTGCCAAAATTTCAAAGATTAACTAATAAAAATCATAGAGTCATCTTAATTTTTGATAATGCAATCATTTTTCAATGATTTATGTAATGATTTAAAAGAAGAAACAATGGAATTATGCGGAATAAGTTTCTTATGCATTTATTTGCAACACATTAATATGCCAATGATCTATTTTGGTATCAGAAAAGAAAAGTAATTTATTTATTTATAAAAAACTTTTCCAAAATCATTCAAAGTTTTCTTTTTTGTTAAGATCAAGTAATTTCTACTTATTGGTATTACTTTTATGGTTATTGCTTTGTACATTACCAGTTGGTTATGTGATCGCTTCCAAGAAACCCTCTTCTTCATGTGGACCTTTTGCGTTTGTTTATTTCTTTTTATTTTAATCTCTGTAAAATAAATCATTCGGATTTGATGTTATAATGTTCCAATGATACTATCAAAAAAATGATTATTATTTTTACTGCAATGCGGTTTTGCTTGCACAATTACTACAATATCACATGACTACTAAAATTGTACAATTTGCAGATAGATTTTTTTGTGCTATAAATCTTATTGGTTTTTCTCGAAATAAATTTCCTTGTTACTTTATTAAATGATACACGGTAGCTGTCACGTATTTACACTTTAGCAAACAATAACTTCATCATCAAACAATCATAATAACGTATTCTTCTTTTCAGTGGTTATGCTAGATTTTACAATGTGCTAACACAAATATTAGAAGGTCAATTGGATAGGAAAGTGATAAATTGGCTTAGATATTTTGCATCACCAGGTGTTGTTATACCAATTCTTCTACTTCTTATGTGAGTATTTTTAATTTGTTTTACTTTTGAGAAAATAAAAGTTTACCTTGAAATTCATATAATTAATTACTAGAATTGTTCTCGTTGTGAATGTATGAAATAAATTTTTCGATCAATATTTCGATTGTTATATAAAATATTTAGAAGTTTAAGTATCATTCATCATTATTCGATGCAAATTGAAAGTTTTGAAATAATTCAAAAAAATTGTAAAAAATTCAATTGATGCTATCACATTGATGCAGGTATGGTTATTGCAAAAGTAAAAATTTGCAAGGGCAATAGGGTGAGAAATAATTGAAATAATTTTAGGCTAATCATTTATTTTCTGGTATCATTAGTTCGAGGATTGCAAAAAACGAATAGCGATCTTCAGCAGCAACTTGTGCATGTTAGAATTTATTATATCCATTTTGTTGTAATAAGAAATATTTCTTAGTGTTGCAATTTATAGATTGTTGCGTAAATGAAAGAGATTCAATGGAAGGTTTTATCTATGAAATTCTCTTCCTTTGCTTTCATAAAATAATTCATTCTAACATAAAGATTTCAACGATGTTGAAAATTGTCATATCTCTTGCAAATATTTTACGCTTCTTTGTTTTCACTTCTTTTATTTAATTATTTTATCTTCTATTTTTGATATATGTACTATTTACGATGCTTAAATACTAATTAGCGATATCTAATTACATACTCTAATAGTCAATGCTTAATTCCATTGACCAAAGAAAAAAATTTCAAGCCAGGCATAGAATAACTTCGTACAGCTTCAAATAGTATTCTTCATTATATAGTTTAATATATACTATAAAATAAATTAATCTAAATTAATATTAAATGCTCTTATATATTAATTAATATTAAATGGTCTTATATATTAATTAAAATAAATTAATATAAATTATTAATACTATAAGTAAATTAATATGTAAGAGCATTTTAAATTATCATTATTGATATTTAAGAAATGGATAGGTGAAAAAAAATTCTTTTTTGTGGCTTTTAATTTTACCTGAAATTTTTAGGAGAGGACGGAAGAGAAGAAGAAAATATTCGAATTAGCTGGTACCACACAAAGGAAAGGTTTTCAAAACAATGAAATAAAGAAGAAACAAATAGTTACATATTTACCATTAGTAGAACAAAAACGACGTGAACCATGGAGATTGTATAATGGGGTTGGTTTTCTTTTTTGATTTGAATCCTTTTTTTAATTCAATTAATTTAAAATGCTATCAAATGGAGCTATTGATAAGAATAAAATACGATGGGTGTTTTCTGTTTAACAAATTTTAAATATTGCTGGTAATATTGGATTTTACTCAAAATACACATGCCTTATGTCAATGTTATATAAATAATATTGTATAAACACTTAACACAAATAATACATAATAATGATAATAATTACTAATAAATTAATAATAATAATAAATAATAATAATAATAATAATAATAATAATAATAATAATAATAATAATTGGATATTGTATAAACACTTAACAATAATACATAATGATAATAATTACTAATAAATTAATAATAATAATAATAAATAATAATAATAATAATAATAACTAATAATAACTAATAATTAACTAATAATAACAATAGCAATTAATAATTAAATATAATAATAGCAATTAATAACTAAATATATAGGTGATACATTTTCAGCAAGATCGCGACTCGTCGTTGTGTGTTACAGACGAGACAAGCACTATGACAAGTCCAGATTCTGCACAATCACCTTCACCAAAGAATCTAAGGACGGGACAGTTATTGCGACAAAAGACAATTCAACAAGAATCCGTAAAAGTTCTCAAGCCTGTGCAACAGCAAATCACGTATTACCTTTTTTCTTCACTTTTTTAAATAATGAATAAATAATTATGATATGTCGGAATTCTGGTATTTTTTCTGTTTCAAAATTTTCTCCGACGATTAGGATAAAGGACTTATGTGCTTATATGAGTGGGATAATGTAAATGAAGGCTAAGAAGAATATCGAAGTTTTACCAAACTATCAGATAGCAAATTGAATACGCCAAGTAATAAAATAAGAAAATTTTAGGATTATATATCTGTCAAAAAGGGATGAATTGTTTAGAATGATGGATTAAAGCATTTAGTGTTATTAATCATTCTCAAAAGGATTAGTTTTTCTATCATCACATAAGCTCCACTAATTGAATTAATTTAAATTGTCACTCATACAGTCTTATTAGGTACGTCTGGAATTTTGAACTTATTTATTAATTGAAAATGCGACATGTTTGGATTGTTTGAATATGCAACTAGGTAGGTACCATTTTTGGTTAAGTTTCTTATTATGTAAAAGATATCTTTCTTGATTCCAGATATATTGAAGTTGCAATTCCGGAAAAACATAGCCACGAACAATACTATTCACTGAATGCTTCGTTTGAGTCATAATCATTATTTGAATTTTGAATAGTTTTATTATGAAATTTGCAGAGAGGAGAATACGAACGATCAAAGTGCAAGCGGAAGTGAAGTAGAATCAAAAGGAATATTTCCGCCATCAAGTACAGATAAAGCGAACGAATGGTTCAAACATGATGATGACGAAGTTAATGAGGTACAGTCCTACAATGTGGAGAATGATGTGGTAGAGCCAGCCACATCAGAGGAAGTACAGTAAGTGTATTTCACTCATTTCAGTAATTGAATGTCTAAATTTTAAAGCATCATTTTGTAGAATATTTTATGATAGCGTTAGAATAACATTACACTTCCGGATTGCAATTACTAAATCATTAACTTGCATGCTACTTTCATGGTTTTAATTTATTTTATGTCTTTCTAGAGTTTTGATTTTTAAACTATTAATATTTTACGGAGTGCAAATTCATTCTACTACGTAGAAACTTTTTGTTTTTACTTCTTTTCAAGCAATTTGATGGGTCGAGTAACCAAATCTATGCGTAGTTCAGCAGTTTCTCCAGTTCTTTCTTCAAAAACGGCTAATCCGATCACCGTACTCTTTCCGACATCATCTATTAGACGAGGTAGTTCCCGATTAGCACTCAATCAGAATCCATCACTGTACGACAAGTTCACTAATCCTTCATTCGATGGCAATATGCACTGGTACCATGCTTTTTCTTTCACTAATTCAGATTTCATCAGAAGACTGCAATATTGACAGTTTCTTTCGTGCTTAAATGTTTACAATTGCATCGTTGTATCATTTGAGAACCTTCAACGTAGTATTTATTATCACACTAAAAATATCATAGTATCAATCTTATGACTAAGCATTTGCAATTTCAAAAAGAAGAATAAATTTTCAAGGTTGAATAAAGTGGAAATGAAGCAGCGGTAATATTTTAATTATTTTCATTAACATATATGAAAATATGTAAACAAATCAGCATGAAACTGCTTGTGCATTGGGAAATAATTGATTTGTTAATATGTTTGCTTCAATAAGGTTCATTAATATTTCTTTTTAATTTTAGTGTCAGCTTAACTAATATTTTGCATTAATGGATTATTAATAGATTTGGCTACGAATGAGAATTCAATTCTTATCACTTTATTATTTTCTTTTATTTATATTAGAGAAACAAAGATTTAATCCCATTGTTGCTGTAAATCTAATATGCATTAATTGTTATATGAATATTTCTGTTGTGATATTAGCTTACCTGATGAATTCTTGTAGTAAGGGATATAATATAATACTTGTAGTAAGCGGTATACCAACCACTTTACTCATTAAAATTAGAATAAGTAATTAATGCTTAATATTGCTAGATATCTTTTTTTCGTCATATCGCCTACTCATTTGTCCTTATCCTTATCTTAGAAAGTTCTATAGGCTGATTGATAGTTCGTTGTTTAACAAGCCATCACTGGTACAGTTATCACAGTATGAACCTAAAACGAGCAAAGCGATATCACCCTCAACCACCAACTTAACTGTGCCATCAACTTATCAATCGCAAAGTCCTAGCGAAATTCACACTCCCATATCAAAGGATGAAAGTGCGGCAAATCAGGCTGCTTTAAGCTCGGAGCCACAGATATCATTGATCGCTGATAGTAAAATAAAAAAACCCAAAACTTCGAGTCGTTTAAGGTAAAAGATTTTGAAATTGACGAAAAATTGAGTTCGAAAAAGCAAATTATTCTGATAGTTCAAATTTCATCCAAAATTCCTTTAGATTTTGATTTGAATTAAAATTAAATTCTTGACTGTTTCTTTCTTCACATAAAGGCAGCCGTTGTTTCAAAAGACAGGAAACCTAATCAGTATTGTATTAAAGAGAATATTTTAAAGTTACCTGTATCCTTATCAGTATACATATAACAACACCACATTATCAAACATTACGCAATACCAAATTATCGTTTTATCATATGTAAATGGAACAGAGTTGTTTTCAAGTAATTTAAAAAATTCTTTGAATAGGACGAGCAATATCAAAGATGCAGAACATAAAATAGTTCCTTGGCCACCCATGAAAAAAGTTCAGTCTCAAGTTTCCGGATTTTCGCAGCGGCAACAAAGATCAGATGCCGATTTTGGTGGTGGTCAACCATCAAAAAGCTTATCATCTCATTCATCTTACATGAAAATCGACAATTCTGAAGTTAGCATTTTATGTTTTTGTATGGAAATAAATGTATGTCATGCGATGCATTAGAAAAAAACAACTTGAATAATAAATTTTATTATATTGTGTTAAAAGTTGGACTATGCTAAAGAAAAACTAAATGGTCTAAACTATGGCCTTACGAAAGAACAGATTAGATTAGAATTAGAACGAGATTAGAACGAGCAGTTTGACATTCCAATCGTGGATAGGTTAATGCGAAGACATGTCATCACTAATACAAACTGCATCGAATGAACGATTATTTCGTCGTCTGAAAGTAATTGTTATTACGTGACGTCAGTCAGTTTGTTTACCTGTTCTCGCAAATTTTGGATTATTTTCGACTGGTTGTATTGTCATGAAAGAATGGTTACGAGATTTCTTTCCTTGAATATCACATCTTTTAGAATCCTCGTCCAACATCTCAAAAACATCATCAACGTCGCTTCCGCATTTCAGTTTCACCATCACGACGTTTTCAAAGTCAAAGTGGAAGCGATACCGATACCAGGTATATATATCTTTCGTGTCTTTTCTTTACATAGGTGCATTTTTTACGCCCGAATTTGAGCGAACTTTCGGTGAATTAAAGCTAATTTTTTTAATTTTAGTACCGGAAAACGCCGTTACGTGATAAGGCAGGAGATATTTCCGGATTCGACAACAAGTATTAACGTAAGTCATAGCGGAATTTCACATCGGAAATCATCAACTCATTCCTCACATGCATTCGAAATTGATAATGGAAAAGACAATTAGTATTAATCGATTAGCTGACGATTCACTAGCATCAATTTGGTATAATCTTTTGAGAGTATTTTTGTGTAATCTGCCGATCGTATGATGGTGTACCATATCATTCATACTCACCGAGTATTTCATTCGTCTTTCTTTATATCCTGGTACCATTTCTTTGGACCAAGCACTGTTTCATCAGCTGATCCTTTTGTATATGGTTATGTTTAACTTATGAATTTTAATCATTTTGCTTTCAAGTCACTTTCCCAAAATCCATTCACTATTGATTAATCTGATATCTCTTCGAGCATATTTCTAAGTCATGGAGCATAGCATATTTCTTCTCTTTTTCTACACTGATCTGATGCTCTATGCTGTATGCTGTATGACTACTCCTGTTCAGGAAAAAATTTTTTGGGAGCACTTTCAAAAAATGGTGGAATTTCAGTGCCGGTTTTATGCCTAAAACTCCGCGAAACAGTTGAGAAAAAAATCTATCACATTTAGAGGCTGTTATTTAGAAGTTATTCACCTATTAAGAAGTTAAGGTATTAAAATTTTAGATAAGATGGTGAAAAAAGCTTAAATCTATTCCTATCTTAGTATATTATCAGTGATTGTTCGTTGCTTTATATTTTCCATACTTCTATTTGTATAATTTTCAATAAATTCGCTCCATTTCTTCATTACAGTAAAGAACCTATTCAAAAGATTGTGTTCAAAACTAAAATCATTCGATTATCTATTAATTTGAGATATACGAAAGGCTTTCAATTTACCTCACGTATGTGTCAATTGGTACTTTTTTCGTTTAAATCTACGTTTGAAAAACTAAGAACTATTTTTTATTATGGTCAAGTCGAATACAGAATAGAAAATTGACGATAACTATCAACACGCAATTTCGATTTATTTTTCTGGAAAAAAGAGTTAATATTTCAATTTCTGTGGCCAAAGCACGAGAAGACAAATCCTAGGACACCTATCAAGAAATTAATGCTTTAATGATCGTTTTGAATGGAAATGATATGATAGTTGTTCTCAAAATGAAATAATTTTATGAACGAAGTGAAAAGTAGTTGCATGCATTAAAAATAGCTTAGGTATATTTATGCGGTCTAATCACTGTATGACAAGCCCGTAAATAATTGAAATAGTTCAAGATACAATTTTTTCTATTACTTCACAAATAGAAACAAGTTTCCATACTCTCACCACACTACAACTTACGCCCCTCTAGGCTATTGACGATAATTTGTATCACTTTATTTATCAAATTCATTGAAACAACAAGAAAAAATTACTTTCCTTTCCAATCTTAAAATAAAAAAAATAATCTAAAGAAAATTAACCGTAGTAACAGATGAAAATAAATTCATAAACGAAATGTATATGGTTTTAAATGTTAAACAAAAAAGCATTACAAAATATCATAAAACTAAAAAATCATACATATGCCAATAAAATTCAAGTCTTCATTCCCAATTAATAAAATTTGATTACTTGGATACTAATTTCAGTTCAGTTCCATTAAAAAATTTGAAATATCTTTAAAAACATATAAAAATTAGAAATTTTGCAAAAATAGCATTAAAAAAAGAGAGTTGAAGATTAAAATATGTAGCTAATTATTCTGAAACGTGGAGAAAGTTGTACTCGAAATACCGGTTCGTATCGGTTGTATAATAACATTACTTGAATATAAAGTCCGCTTTACACTGAATCTATCGTTAGCCCTTTATATGTATTGCGTCCACCCAAACACATTTCTTTCAATGCATTACGTGGAAAGTGTATAGCGAACCTATTATCGCCAATAAGCAACTTGCCAACATGAAACGAAATAACTCCCATAAGTGATGTATACATGATAGTTGTTTCGTTACTTGTTGTGGATTAAGTGTTGAAATAGATTTTGTGAGGATTAGATGTAGTGATGTTAATAAAGTTTAACTGTAGCACGTCAGGGAGTAATTATTGTTCTGAAAAGAACTGCAAAATTTAAGAAATTTGGAAGGATCTTTAAATTCTTATGGTTCCCTTTATTGCTTACCGCCAACCATGCGACTTTTTTTTGTAGTGCATAATTTATGATTTCGGTGAGTTTGTTTTTTTTTTGTTGTGAAGATAATAATTTAAAGCAATCTATCTCGCATTTAATTTAACTCGTAGTAGTTGCTGAGCTTTTAGTATGTGGTCGAAATCATCCTAATCTACAAGCTTTTCATCAGTTGTGACCTATTATCTCCATATAAGTTTCCAGCTGATTAGTTTATTGAAATCCAATTTGAAATAAAATTTCAAATTGAAGACAATTGCAGGCTCTTTAAGGGATTTAAAAGATTACTGGTTGAGGTGATCTACATATATAGACGTGTACAAAGTATATACAACTCCCATTATGAAAAATTCGCTTTTTCAGGAAAAATGTCTTCAGAAATGAGGAAATGTGTGAAATGTCCCGAAAGAGCTACATTATGTTGTGCAGACGTAAAGAAAGCAGCTTACTGTAAGCCATGCTTTATTCAAATGATAAAACATAAATTTGGCTCCACTATCGGTAAACGACGACTATATAAAGTTAGCGTTATTTCATTATATTTCAAATATTGGGATTCATGAAGCAATCTGTTGAAATTTGGCCAACTTATTGAAGTATTTGAGATTTATGTACATTTCAAAGAATTGAGTTAATTAGGGAATTAAATTTAGAATTATTTTTGATAAATAAATTATAAGTTATTTCATCAGTGCTAAAAATTTCCTGGAAAGTACAGCGATACCTTACTGTCTCTTGATTTATCTTTAAACTTTATGTTAAAGATTTTTTCTTATATTTTTATGTTCTCCATTTCTCCGTATACAAAGCTATACTATTCTAAAAGTTTGACAAAATACTCAAAATACTTCATGTTTTTCACATTTTAGGATGGTGAGCAACGTGAGACCTTAGTGGTTTACGATGGAACTAACGCTGGCGCATTTTTATTGTCCCTTGTTAGCCAGGGTCTGCGAGCTGATGCTCATAAACGACTCACACTTGTACCTACTGTAAGTAGATATTTAACTCAAACTCTACATATTCAACTCAAACTATAATCCATCTATAAATAGATTGGGTTATCAAAATTTTCTGCACACATTAAAAGAGGAATTTGAAGCCTTGATTAAAAGTAAAGTGTTCTAAAAATTTGATGACTGTCCTTTTCCCTTTCTCAAGGATGGAGTAGTTTGACGATTATCACCATCCAGGAAGTTCATAGACAGTTTGTCCATCATGAGTTAAAACTAAGAAATTTGTGCTAACAGTATACCACATTAACAGTACATTATTTATCGCACACCATGTTATCTCAGTAGAAACTTGAAAATTCCGGATTCCCATATCTTTAAATCTCTTGGATCAACGCCATTCTATCACTTTTACTTTGAAATTGCCATATCTGTTTAGGTAATGGTTCTTTTCAAGGAAACGGATGAAGCAATTATTGATAATATCAGGAAGGAAGTAGAACTTATCAAGAAATGTATCGCAGCTCCATGGATTTGTGTCCATATTGCTGCAGTCTTCGAAAGCAATATTTCTGATTCACTAACATTTTCTGATATTTACGGCATTGACCATGTATCTTTTTTATTTCTGCTTTTTTTTCAATTTTTAGACTTAGGTTTTGATTTATCGACGAACTTTCATTCATATCTTACAAACCTTAACTTATAGTTATGGAACATATACTATATTGAAAGAAAAAATGTCCTTAATACTTATTTAGCAAAATGGGTAGTGGGAAAATAAGTAATATGCTATCTGCTTTCGGCTCCAGATGGGCTTTGTATTTCTCTGGTTTTCAGAAATATTCTTGAATTTGTAAGATGTAATCAGTTCTAAGAATTGTCCGTATTCTATTTTCCACCATTCCATCTTCGTTTGTTATTAATTTTTGCATCTTTTGCTGTCATTCTGGCTATCACTACCGTAATATGGCAATTGAGCGCTTTTGCACTCTACTGTAAATCATCAGTTTTTGAAATATTTTTGTTACGCCCTTCATTTTTCTTCTTTATTACTAAAGGGTTCTTCAGTTACGACAGTGGACTCAATTGTTGACTTCCTGTTCGTCATTATCTACTAAAGAAGAAGTTGAATATTTGTGCTCAAATATGTTATGTATCCGAATAGCGCGGAAGTTAGGAATTAATAAAGTAATGTTATCTATGTCTGCCGATGAATTAGCCTCAACGACTCTCTCATCGCTTGCTTTAGCTAGAGGTTTGTTATTGCTTTTCAAAATTTTGAAATCCGAAAATGAGTTCCAAGGAGCAAGAGAGTGTGTAGAATTAGTTATTTCAAGTTTTAATGTAACGAGAGTTATAAATATCCAAAATCTTGTAAGTTTTGAATTCCAGGTTTTTGGAGTGACCTAACTTTTTGAGTTGATAATGACAACAGCAGCTTATAGTATTATTTGCAAGTTTTCAGGTCCTTCCGTTTTTCATGCCGTTAATGTAGTTGATAAGCGTCACGGTGATGTCACATTGATACGTCCACTTCGGGAAATTAGCGAAAAGGAAATTGCACTTCTCAATCGGTGTTTTTTTTCATCTCCAGCTTCATTGTCTTTGATTTTTTATGAAATCTGTTTCATTTCTTCAGTTGTTGGATCAAATTGAATGGTTTTAAGGATAACAGCTATGAGTATATAGGTAACCATGTCACATAATACAAATCTGTACTAGTAGTGCTCCAGCATTTTATTTTGATTTCCTCTATTCATCATTTTAAAGAAACTCGCTGAACCATGTCATATTCATTGGTTTTTTCGAAAATTTCAAAATCAAATATGTAATGTTTGCAAAGTATGATCAAATAGTTAAGTGGTATTGATTTAGATTTGAAGGAAGTGATCAATATATTTTGAATGTACAAAGGAATCGTTTAAAAGCTGATGATGATGATCAGTCATTGCAGTCAGTCTCCAGAGATTTTATAAGCGATTTGATAATCAATGGTTTTACTGGAACCGTAACGACTATATTAAGCATCGCCAACAAAATTCAGGCTCCAGCTATGAATAGCACTCGCTGTGTTCTGTGTGCCTCAGTTTACAATGCAGAGGAGGAAGAAAGGTTTGTTTGAATTGTGCGGATGTATAATTTCATTGGTATGATTGGCGCTTTAATGTTTAGTTTATGGCTGTTTCTAATCCTAATCTTGCAGATGGAACTTATTTTTTTTGAGAACTTTTAATATAATGCAGAAATCATAGTATGAGTTATCATTTCAATTAAACTACTTTGTATACTTATTACGCATAGAAGTATCGTACTTTTTACGGACTCATGGGCTTTGCATAGAAGTTGTTCGGCAGACACATTCTTAAGTTTTGTTATTTTATATTTTCAGGTATTGCTTTTCATGTATGTCAGTTCTGGATCAAGTTGGTGACAAGATCCTGTTAAAGAAGCTCCTTGATTCCATATGTACGGTTATCGATAAACGCACTAAGAAGTAGATCGTTTGCAATTTGTTAATACTCGTCAATTAGGTGAATTGGTATTCGTATGAATTAAAATTTTATGCTAATAAATAGATGTTTCGAGCAAACCGTTTGGTTTAGAAATAATAATTATGAAGTTGGTGTGCATCGGATAGATACAGTAAGTCCAATTTTTCAGCTGAAGAATTGATTTCAAGTTTTAAAATGCTTAGCAATCCAAAAATTCTCAACGGCACTGAACATTGCAACGTTTTATGGATTCTTCTTTTTGAGAATCGAATAAGTATGAAGGTTTATTATTTAATGGAGTATTTTATTCTACTTGACGTTTAGAACGTATAATTATCAGAAATTATCAAGAATAGAGTTGATCATTTCATTCAATAGTAAATCCTTCAATTATTCTTCTTTACGTGTTGGTCTTGGAAAATAATTTGAAACTATTCGTTAAAGTGGTTCAGAAGTAATGGAGTGTAAATGGCAACATTGCTTCGTTTCAATGCAGTAGGTAATATTGGAACACACTCTTCGAGTTAAGTGGTGTTCGATGAGCACTGTTTTTAGTGAAGAGACAGTTTCGTCACTTCTTGGACGAAAATGATGATAAAGATAGGTCAAAAGATCACTAGGCAGATGAAGCTATTGGTGAACAGAATCGTCTAGTCATTTGACAAATGAAACATGTAAAAAAGATCATTTGATATTAAGCATTCTTTTGTAGACTGAGAAAAACAAAGCATATCTTATCATTTCACTGGGAATATTTGAGACAAACGATTTCTATAGCATAGATTTCAAGAATACAAAGAAATTTCGATTATTTAAAAATTTTTATATTAAAATCATTTTGTGTTTCCGACACTGAATGAATATTCCACATAATTTTACAAAAAATTGTATTGTATTCAGATGACTGTTATGTTGTCATTCCTTTGTTTGTTGTAAAATTTGCCAGAATGTACCAAGGGCCTTATTTGTGATCAATAAATGCAGATGAATTTGATTTTTTGCACCATTTACACATTTTGGCTGATCCTCAACATTACTTTAGAGCTCTTATCACTTTTTGTTTTCTTTTTGGAAGTTTAAATGATTGAAATGTGTAATAATTGTTGATTAAATCTGGAATACTTCATTGTAATGATAGACGGCATGAACAATTAACACGCTTATACCAGAATCTTACTGACTTTGGTTAGGGGCGAGAAAGTTTTTCCGTTCTTTTTGAATATTATATCGTACGGTTATTCTTGTTTGATATTGCAAGAATTCTAAAGGATATCCTAAACCAAAGCATCAATTTATAACTAGTTGTTGGAGAGGTACGTAGACAGCATCTCATTGGGATTTACACATGACTTATCATACTTTTGCTAAATGTACCCTTGCTATCAACCTTGTGTTCGTTTCTTTCAAAGTTAATTTCATCCCTAAAAACATCCATCAAATGGTGTGATTATTGCATCAATCGGTTAAATTAAAAATGCAAATTGAAAGTGCATAATCTTAACAGGATCATTCCCATCTGTGTGTTAAGTAATCAAGCATGCCAATTATCATTAACTGTTAGCATTTGTAGATTTTGGATTTACGTTATTACAACTTTATGACAAGAACGATATGTCCTTCACACATTCGACTCATCTTTTTGAACTTATGGATAATGGCCGTTTCCATATAATTTGTCAACGAAACTGCCGATATCGATCACGTTTCCGAGTACTACCAGCTTCTAATTTTAACAAATCATTAAAAATTTTTAACCATACTAAAAGAATTGTTTGTTCGTAGTTAAAAGTGTCGTTTGCTTGATTAGTTAAAAGTATTGGATTGAAATTTCTTTTAACAAATTGTGCTAATATTACTTTTTACATTTTCCTAACTGTTCCTTTTTTTCTGGTTTTTACAAATTACAAAGGCTTAGTTCTAGATTATGCTAGCATTTATTTTGCTAGTTTTTATCGATTCTAGTCTTTTTTTCATCTTTAAATCTCTGGATTATGGGCAATATCTTGAAATTCAGTTTTACTATCAGCTGTCGGAATATGCTAGTGTAAAAGTAATTTTGCTTCCGGAGACGATTTGTTATAATTAAACCTAAATCATCTCTACTATCAAAATAAGAACCATTACAATCAACTATAAAATGAATCTATTAATTTTCTAATATATATGGTAACTTGTGCTTTGTGCTCGACGAACTTGAGGAGTTTTTATGCTGTTGGTTGTTGGGAGGAAAATTTCGGAAATTGATGGGATGATCGAAGAAGTGGCAATTGATTGATGAGAGTAAAATGGAGAGATAATGAAACAAACCTTTGATATCCAATTCATTTAACTTCTTTAAAACGTTCAAAAGTTAAAGTGGTATATAATGCCACAATTGTTCAATGTTTTATTCCAATATGAAACAGCGAAGAGAAAAGTTCATTAATGCAAAAAATGCAGTTATTCTTCACCAACCTAATATTTTCTAACGTTTCTAAACAGCGTGATTTATCATATCAATATTTTTAGTGATTAGATGAGTGAAGGATGGGACGGTCTACCAACCGAACTATTGTTGATGATAATGTCTTACCTAGAGGCGAAAGAATTGGCACGCCTTGGTAACGTCAATTATCATTGGAAACGTGTGGGAGAAGATGATTCATTGTGGAAATATTTGTTTTTCAAAGATTTTACGCGAAACAGTCAAACTTACAGGAAGGTAAATTTCGACTTTAGGAGTAATTGATCAGAAATGACCAACGAAATCATTTATTTTCATTGATGCTTGAAATAAATGCTATGCTATATCTAGTATACAATATTGCTCTAGAGTATGATATTCTGATATTGCTAAAGAATTTGCAGTATTTTATAGGTGTGTGAACGGTGGATAGATGAATACAAGTTATTGAAATTTGAACCTCCGATAACTCTTACGGAAAGTTTGAGAGATTGTCCTGATGGTTTGTCACATGTTGCATTTTCCGATGATGGTCAGCTATTTTGTACAACAGCTAATGATGCCTCCTTCAAAGTGCGTGTTTGTTGTTTGCTTACGGTTCATTTCCCGCAATGCAAAAACTTGATGAAATGTTTCAATTAGGACTTCATATTGAAATGCGGAAATGATAATTAAATGGTACATCATATCGGTAATAAATTCTTAAGAGCCTTATGTAAACCTAGGAGAGTTATCATATACTATCCGAATAAACTTGAATGAGATTACTGATAGCGCTCAATAGAACTGTTCGACAGTTAATTTAAGTGGTGTTTTTAAGAAGCTAATGCATAGTCATCTAAGCACACAGTATTTACTTTGAAAGTCACTGAACTACTGGGCATCTCTCATCTCTTTCACATTGGCTTTCAAAATCATTAAATTAGTATATAAAATAATGATTACTTCATCTAACTTTCCATTATTAAATTTACTGAAGCTCGCGTTAAAACTTTTTTATTATTTCAATCTTTCACTTCATCGTTATGATACAGATATGGACCGCTACAAGTCCGGTGTATTTGTTAGATGAAAGATACATGGATGATGCGCTTGGATGGGAACGTGCTTTAAGCTCTCAGTTCAGTGCTGACAATAAACGGCTTCTTGTGGCCGGTGTGAAGTTTGGTGGAGTTGGTGAAATTGCAGTATATTCCGTTGATGGTTTGCTTTTTTCTATAACTGCAATTTTTTTTATAGTAAGTAGGATTTGTGATTTTTTCAAGTATTGAAATTCACTGCGAGATATTCTTTTAATTTAAATTTTAAACTAGCCAATTATTCAGGAAATTACATAAAACATTTCGTTGCTTGACATCGTGAATCTCTTTTAGCTGCAGCATGTATTCCTGTTACCCGTGGAAATGAATGTACACAGTAGCTAAAGAGTTCTCACGAATCTTAAAAATTTGTAATAAAATTCTTTTCTTTCAGTTGTTAATAATTCGGGAACAATTTGCGGAATAGAGCCTAGTTTAATAAGATCTGCCCATTTAATATAAATGTTCATATTGCGTTAATCTGAGATGGTAAAAGAAAATCAAATGATCTTTCTTACTGTTAAATAGTATTGATCAAAATAATGTTGACGAGTTGCGTTTTCAGAGGACAGCTCATCAATACACTATTTGTGTCGTGTGCTAAATAATCCTCCTGAGGTGGGTGCCTGCTGGTACAATAGCTCATATATATTCAGTGGTGATATATATTTCTTTAATCGAAAGTACGTTTATTGTTAAATGATTTTGTCTAATTTCAGTAGATAACTTAGATGTGTTTTAGTTAACGGTATTTAGTAGATTAAGATTCAATAACATTGCAGTCGGTTATATAAAAAGTTGTATAAAAATTATATAAATTGGTAGCATTTTATCAGAATTAAATTGAAAGTCTTCTTTAGCTCGGTTGTGGGCACATCGGTGTCTCAAATTTGGATTTGTTCATCATTGTCACCGGATGCAGTTGGTAATGAATCAGTTATGAGCCCTGTTTTCCGGTAATGTTTTTTTAACATCTTTATGCCTCTCTTGTTATAAGAAAAAAATAATTTTCATAATGAAATTTATACAAAAATTTAGGTACTCACAAGAAGAGGGGGAAGGTAATAGTTTTTTTCCAATACACATTGTCTTCTGAACCTTGTAGAGTCGTAAAAAACAAATTCCGGATTCTCTTCAAACATCAATGCAATGCTTCTCGTAAATTGCATAGTTCCACACCAAATGTGATCAAGTAGCAGTTTTTTGAATGAAGCTTTAAATCAGTTGTTTAACCTTTGCTCACCTTCAAGTTATTAGTTTTATTAGTTTATGGAAAGGGTTAGTAAGTTTTCAATTCATTCATTCACACTAGTCTGACACCTCTAGCATCAAAAATCTTGCAACCAATTAGTGTATTTACATGTTGCTAATATTTGTAAACTGCTCTTTAAATATTGGTAAAATGCTTCGTATTTGATACAAATTATTTTTATTTAGAATATTGAATCGAGGTGGAAGTTACTGTCAAATGATCAAGTTAGGTC